CAGCAATATTCCAGCGGTCTGTAAATAATCGAGTCTGGACCAGACAATCCAGTGATCAACAGCATGAGCATCGATCTGCGCAATTGGGGTGAGGTGAAGTGAGGTGAAATTGGGTTTAACGTCGTGCTTGAGAATATTTCGCTCATATGACGACGTGCATGCGTGTGTATGTGTATGTGCGGCTGCTTGTACTAGTCCAGACTAAAGCTGATTTTATAGTGCTAGCCCAGGGATACCATGCCGCAGTGAGGCATGAATACCCCACTCAGACACATTATACTGACTCCGAGCCGACCAGTCCTTGTTGTACCCATTAATGCCGAGCGCCAGGCAGGGACCAACAAGTACCACATTTTAACGTCTTTTGGTATGACGCGGTCGGGGATCAAACCCGCGACCTTCCGCTCTCCGGGCGGACGTTCTAACCACTACACAACGGAGGCGGTCTGCACGTGCAGTGAGTAAAGAAAGATGGGGTAAAATTGTCTTTACTGTCTGAAGACGGGTGCATCGTCAAGTGTTCTATTTCAACAGGATATTAAAACTCAAAAACGCCCTCCCGGAAGTGTATGCCCGCTGCCAATCCCACCTGTTGAAAAAAATGAAAAACTCGAATAATGCCACTATCCGAATACACAATAACAAAAGGGCCCGGAGGAATTATGCCATGTAAGTGAATGTACTACTGATCACGGTTGATACATGTCAGGGACACAAGCACTTGTTCCCGGACACGTGGTAATGCATACAGATGACGTAGATCTGCTCCAAATGTGAAACCACGTATGATAAAGTCAATCTTCAGTACATCGCAGCATGCACTTTACATTCAGAACAGTGTCTGTGGGTTGCAAAGGAAGAGAATCATAAATGACCCATCTTAGATCTGCCCTCGTGGTCTAAAAATCCTGAAAACGGAGAGGGGACTCAACTCAGCACATGTCAATGGGCTACGTGCACTCCTAGGTATCAATGACCATTTGGACCATACTCATCTGGCAAATACTGAAACACAGGGTCCAGTATCTTGGAATATCAGCTGATTGTGGCAGGAGTGTCTCAAGTGTCAGGCCTTTACCACTATATGCATGGGATTGAGCGAGGGAGTTTGGTTTTACGACACTTTTAGCAATATTCCAGGAACACCAGGGCCGGGGACACCAGAAATGGGCTTCACACATTGTACCCATGTGGGGAATCAAACCCGGGTCTTCAGCGTGACGAGCCAACGCTGCATGGGATTGAAACACCATCCAGCATCCCTCCTCATGGCCAGCGATGTTCACAGCATAGTTGCTATTACAAAAATGACCTTTTCTCCAAAGGATGCAGGGGAATTACATGCACTCAGATGGGTGGGTGATTGAGAGAGTCGAGTTTGACACTGCATTCAGCAATCTTCCAGCTATATGGTGGCAGTCTGAAAATAATAAAGTCTGGACCAGACAATCCACTGATTAACAGCATGAGCATCGATCTATGCAATTGGGATATGATGTGTGTCTACCAGTCAGTGAGTTTGACTACCCAATCCCATTACTTGCCTCTTACAAGCATGGGTTACTGAATATCAATTCTAACCCAGATCTTCACGGGTAAGCACTCACATGGGATTCAGATAGGAAAAGTTTTGTTTCAATTGGTATACACTGTGTAGCCCATTCATTACCATCAGATAGCAATAGTAAATATTTCAGACTGTGGCTAGTTAAACAGAATTGGTTGTACAGACATTTATTAACATTGCCGTGTCGCACCCTGGACCTGACAAGTGAGTGAGTTTGGGTTTACGCTGCTTGTAGCAATATTGCAGCAATATCACGGCAGAGGACACAGAAATGGGCTACACATTGTACCCATGTGGGGAATCGAACTCGGATAGAGCGAACGCTTTCACAACTAGGCTACCCCACCGCTCCTGGACCTGACAAAACAGACCAGTGGTTGAGAATAAATCTGTTGATTAAAAAGAATAACAAAATGGAATGAGGTTTCCATGTTTATTGTCTGTCATGTACACATCTATGCGTCAGCAATGGTAACCTCGACCTCTACACCTGGCTCGATGCTGATGGAGGTGATCTGCTTCACAATCTCAGAGGGACTGTGCAGATCGATGATTCGCTTGTGGATCCTCATTTGGTAGCGACTCCATGTCTTGGACCCCTCACCACAGGGGGTCTTCCTGGTGGTGATCCTCAACACCTTGGTTGGCATACGCACTGGCCCCTTTACCTTCAGCTGCTTTTCCTTGGCACCCTTGATGAGGTCAGCACACACTGGAAACAATGTCACAGCACATGAATATTGATCAACAATGTCATAGTATTTCAGAGTTCAAATAAAAAAAATGGTATTATCATGCTGCATATATTTTTACCAATTTCATTTTTCCTCCCACAAAGGTAAACAAATGAATGATATATCCACCTACAGTTTTACCTACACCAGTGCAGTCTTATCAATGCAAATTGAACATGTCACACGACCCGTGAAGGTCCGGGTTAGAATGAACCTTCAGTAACCCATGCTTGTCATAAGAGACGACTAACAGGATCGGGTGGTCAGGCTCGCTGACTTGGTTGACACATGTCATCGGTTCCCAATTGCGCAGATCGATGCTCATGCTGTTGATCACTGGATTGTCTGGTCCAGACCCGATTCCTTACAGACCACTGCCATATAGTTCGAATATTGCTGAGTGCGGCGTAAAACTTAACTCACTCACTCACTGAACATGTCACATAGTTTTCACAAGCCCTGGGATAAGCAGCCATGTGAAAGAAACCAGAGATGTAACTCTGCACTAGTACAAAACAGTATGTGTCGTTAACATGCTAACCAAATCACTGAACATGACTACCCCATCCTATACGTCACCTTGTACGGCAAACATAGGTGATGAGGTCCTTTCCCAACTTGGAATCCCCAAGGGTCTATTTCCACTAAAGAAAAAGAACTAGTTCCATACCCTTCTCAAGACTCTTTACATTTCTGCTGGTTAGAGTGATCCGGATCCTATGGATCGGGGCCTCTTCTGCTGGAGCCTTTGTGTCTTTGTAAGACTGAAATTAAAGACCAAGAATTATCATACAAAGAAGCTATATTCAATGTTGATGTGCAGTTTGAATGTAAAACAAGTGAGAGTGTATGTTCAGTGTTACGTAGGCTTTTAGCAATATTCCAGCAATATCATGGCGTGGAGACACCAAAAATGAGATTCACACATTGTACCCATGTGGGGACTCGAACCAGGGTCTTCAGCGTAATAAGAAAACACTTTAACCAATAGTCTACACCACCACTCAACTTACTGTAATTTAGTAAAACAAAGTTCCATTTATCTGAGTTTTGTAATGTTCGATTATCGCCAGCTGTAGAAGTTATGTAACACAGAAATGACAGGGTGTTTAAATATTGGAAATGTGTTACGTACATCTGGAATGTCAATTCAAATTACAGACGTTACATGCCTGTTAGGGTTGAAACGGTGTACCGCGGCATTAGTAGAACTGCGGTATTTTGCCTTCGGTTCGGTATAACATAATGCAATCGGTATTTTCAGTTTTCGTACCGTCATTTTATTAACCTTCTTAAACTTTTTCTAAAATGTCTAGGAATCGAATCGTTTTGTCAAAATAAACCCATTTTGTTTGCTAGGTGGCCGCTATTTTCCTGGAAGTAAGTTCTCATATACCGAACTGAAACGGACCGAACCAAAGGCCTTGTACCGCAATACGTACAGTGGCAAGAGCGTACTGTTTCACCCCTAAAGCCTGTGTGAGTCTGTGACCGTTTTGATCTCTCAGACCAAGATATTAGAACCCCCCATGCTGACTGACCGATCAGAAAGTTCATCCGATACAGCGTCTTATGCTGAGCGATACTGTACCACTACCAGGGTGAAAGATTCTGGTAAGAGTTCCTCCCATTTCCTCATCCCAAATAATATTCATAGATTTATATATACTATAATTATTAACAAAACCTAACACAACAATTACTAGAGCTCACAAACATAACTAAAAGCCCAAAAATTACAATATTATCGGGTTGAACCAGGTTGCGTCACCACTATTAATCTGTGGAAGAAAGAAGTGGGGGAACAGAAGGAACTCTTTCCTCCCTTAAACGCACCCCCTTTCTTACTAGGATGCTTCTCATTAAGTTACTAACAACAGCATTTTCTTAGAAAAGAACTTTAAAGAACCATGGCTCTCCCACAAGAGACCGCGATTAGTAGATGTTTTATTTCTGGCAGGAATCTGGATCGAGTGTTAGGAAAATCATAATTTCTTTTGATAATTTTCTAGCGTGAAACAGTTCTCGCAGTTGTATATTGATATAACTTCCCAAACTGTTAGCGTTATAACAGTAACAACAGGTGCTCGGGGGTGAGATTCAAGGGAAGCAACCATAAACTTTTCCAGTATTCTGACCACATAGTGTTATTTCCATGGATTTTTGCTCTTAGAATTTGAATAACAGTAAAATAATACTTCTGAAAATGATCATACCATGTTTTATGATTATATCTGGCCGACTTAATCAAAGATTCAAACTTTGAACAGCGGTGAGCCAAAACACAATCTTGGCTGCACGAGGTTCGGAAAGAAAGAGCGAAAGCATGCGCGGACGGAAGTTACAGCGACTGGACGATTGAGAGGGGTGTCAGGTTAGACGAGAGGCCACGAAGAAAGGAATAGTCTCTCATATGGATATAGATGCACATGGAATATAGTGAGGTGTCTTATGTATATGCAACTGGTTTATATCCATATACATTTCTAACGTTTCCTGATGTTATTGTTATCATTCACAAACGTATGATAAAGCTGACACCCCTATGAATAAGTCAGCAAATGAATGTTTTATTTCCAACGGGAAACGTACCTTTAGTCCGTATTATCTTTTAACATAAGTTGTTTGAAAAACGTAGATCATGCGTGTTTAAAAAATTGCGATAAGGGAAAATAGTCCTAGAAATTACAGAACCACCCAGTCAGGAAACCGGTAGCTGTGTTAATTGTTGTTATATAATACGTTGCCGTGGGCGCAAGAGCAACGTGGAAGATAACACAGGTCCAGATTTAATACAGCCTCAAACGTGACGTCACGGGGTCCACGTTTGTAGCAAGATGGCGGCGCTGGTAAGTCGGTTGTCATGTTTTTGAAACTGAGTATTTTTGCAGGACAGGGAGAAATAATACGTTATACGATGGCCATAATAACTGTAAATGGAATCTTAAGAGTTTGAGTGCAATGTTTGGTTTGGGATAAATGGAGACAGGAACATCATTAGATTCTGAAATGTCAAGTCGGAAGTCCCAAGACATCCTTGAATTGTATGCAGTACATGTCGAAGCCGGTCTGCGAGCGGTTTGATTTCTGTTTCTGCAATACTAGTTCATCGTGTCGTCCTAATATTTTTCTCGCGTATGTAATAGTTATGATGTACATGTTCAGAAGCCATTGATTGCCATATGTTAGCTGTCTTGCTCAGAGTGTGTGTCTTGTGGGTTGTATGAATTGTAGTGACTAACCTCATCAAATTGATATTTGAAATATGTTTTTGTAACCTTGTCATCACTTTTGACAATTGATTGAACTATCAGCATTTTTGTATTGAACTAGACACAATGTCAGGTTCCAATTAGCATGATGGTAATGAAGATGAAAAAGGATTGAACCCATGTTGCCAGCTTGAAGATGTATTAATCAGATGAAACAGAAAGGGCCAGTACCTTAATGTTTCTATGTTTGTTTACATTATGTATGAAATAAATGACTTCAGGCCTTTATTTCATGCCCAAATATATTCTCAAAACAAAATGATAGAGCTCAGCAAAACAGCAGCACCAACAGTGCAAGTGCTGTGCTTCAGTCATGTTTTTCAGTGGAGGAAAGTTGATGGTAAAGCTCATGTTTTTCTTAGGATTTAGTTAAGTAAAAAAAACCAGCTATTTTGGTGGACAGGGTTAAGGTTGTGGTAATTTGTGGCAGTCCTGTGGTTCTTGAATCTAATAAAGATGCCATTTTGTTCAGTACTTATGGGATTATCAGTTCACCGTTCATAATTTAGTCCAGATAATATCACTAAAACCTACTGGAAATAATGATTTGGAATGTGGTTAGTCTAGTACAGTCAAACATTTTGGGCACATATTACAATTTAATTTCAGATGTTTCAGGCTTAACCCTGGATTTTGTTCAACATGTACAGTTGGCCACATCATGTACCTTTTCACAGTAAAAACTACCACTTTGCAGATTATTTGTGATGCTTGCCATATTCAAAAAAAGAATGTGCATTGATTAAGTGTTGTAATTCACATGTTGAACTTAAGAGGAGAAATTACCACCAAAATTCAAACCTGCCACCTTACCATACATTGCAGGGAGATAACATCAGTTCAAGATGTTGCATATGTTGGTCAATTATTGATTTATCTGATATGTCTCATGTGAAATGCAGAAAAACTGGATATGTGACTGAGGATTGACAGTAACTAGACTAGATTAGATACATTGATCAGTCAGAAGTTCCCGTTGTTTTTCAAATCTGCATCATGTTCGTTCTCACACACAGATTTTCTCTGCTATTAGTGTGAAGGGGACACCATTATGTTCGTTCTCTCTCTCTCTCACTCACTCACTCACTCACTCACACACACACACACACACACACACACTACTTGAAATTAAGTAATACATGTTTTATCGATGTCTACTATATAAATATCCTATAATAATAGTGTGTTATAGCACACTAGTCAGTTAAGAAGCAGGGGAAGGGACTTGGTTTGGGATGGGGATAGGGATGGTGCTGCAGCTTTAGTGCACTATACACACTGATGCAAAACCCTGTGCAGTGACATTCCCCTCTCATATACACCAGTCCTCAAACCTTGGCATTTGCAGAATCGTTAGAGAGAAACCTTTGCATTTTTTGTCATAAGGTTCAGTATCGTGATGCTTTGTTCATGCTGATAGATGATTTAAACAATGTATGGAAACTTTTTATTTATCTGTTATTTTTACCACCTTAAGTTAAGTGATAACAATAAACCTAACATAAAACATTTCCTTTCTTTCAGAGCATCACTGTAGGAAGTGCAGTAATCTTCCTGTTGACCATATCCTCTGTTGCATGCTTCTATGTGCCTGGGGTTGCCCCAGTGGAGTTCAAGAAAGGAGATGTTGTAGATGTCAAGGTAATGGTTTCAGATACCCGTGAAGACCCAGGTTAAAATTGATCTTCGATTGATCGTAGGAGGTTATTAGTGGGCTTTTGGATATTCAGACTCAATGCATGTCCTTGTAGCCTGCTTGCATAAATCGATGCTCATGATGTCAATGACTAGATTGTCTGTACCAAACTGAAGTATTTACAGGTCGCTGACATTCAGCTGGATTAATTGCTGAGTGCAGTGTGTAACAACAAATAAGAATGTATTTATTATATTCGATCTTAGACAGCAAATTGATGATTAGAATTGGTTAGAAAATTGTACTTGTTGTATAAACAATAGTTTTGAAGTCTATTTGGTTCTTGGGTCACAATACGAATAACATCTGATAGATAAGAAACTGTATGAAAGCTTTCTCAAATATAAAGCACATCAAAGAATTATATCACTCGCTTGTTTTACAGATGATAATTTTGTTTACACTTATTTGACAAGTTACAAAGCACCATGCTAAAAATAACCAGAATGAACAGTAATTTATAAAACTTAAGAAGTCCAAATACACGAAATATGCAAAAGAAACATGTTTATATATTTTTGCATTATAAATCAATGTGAAATTTGTGGCAATGTTTTTGTAGAAAGTTTGTGTTAAAGAACAAATAAACTTTGTTGATCGATGTTTATAATGTTGAGTATTTACTCCAGACACAAGAAATGCCAAATGGGAACCTTTGTCGGGTAATCTAAGTGGCTTTACCACTAATTATACCTGTTATAAATTCATTAACTGACCATCAAGTGAATGATGACAAATAACATGTGTATAGGTTTATACCACCTAACACGGGTTACAACAAGGGAGTATTAATTGCTGTATTGCATGTGAAAACTTATGGGCCAACACTGTTTTGAGAATACAAACAGAACTTCATTGTTGCATAAGAAATACACATAAGCATTTGCTGTGTGCTAAAACTGTATGTACCTATTTACCTAAGTAAATTTTCAGTTTCTTCTAGCAATGGCAAAGTAGGGTTGTTTAGTTTACGGATTCAAATAAATCAAATGTCAATTTTTAATATCATACGTAATAGGCGTCATATTTTTACATGACATGATTAAATATCGAGGTAACAGAAATGGGATCAATTTGGATCAGTCATTACATCCAGGCATTAGAAAACCTGAAAAAGCCCACACTGCTTTGATACTTTATTTCAATCAGACCAGAACTACCAGGGATATTTTCAAATAACTGCATCTGATGGGCATCCACCTTTCTTAATGTCGCACTGTTTAGGTTGAAGAAATTAACCATAACCATGATGAGCGAGGCTGATCATCGGTTTCGCTCTCACTAGCATCTGGCTTGAACAAATAAGGCCTAGCGACACCAAGCGATTTTGACAGAATCGTCTATGAAAACAAGTTGTAACTCGGAAACTAGGCAAAGCAGGAGACAAAATTAAATGACAGTAGATTGTGAGAACATATAGCTTTCATTTTTCACATCGACCCTCATATCTATTCCTCACATGACGTCACAGAAACGCGCCATTATGAATGGATGAAAGTTCGTTCGCGGGTGAGAATTGTGCACTGTTGTCAAAAAGGTCGATTTAAGTTAATTAAAGATCAAAATGAGTAGTTTTAATGATGGGGCTTCATTTATAACGATGCCAATTAGTGATTTATGTATTTGTACCCCCCTAGAGTATATGTGATCTTTAAAGATTACAGAATTATCTACAGACTGTTTTTCCTTTCAACAAATCAAAACCTATGTCAGGCAGGGAAGTTTATGCGCTTCAGCACAGAGATCAAAACAATCTGTTTAGTTCCCTGGTTACAAATAAAAAGAAACACAATGTTTTATATTAGGTTCATTTGTCTACCATGATCATGTTACGTTTCTTGCGTGCACCAGCTGAGCATGTTCAAGATTCTTCCTTTTGTAAAAGTTGCCTTTTTTTCTGTCACTATCCTAGTCTGTACCATTAACTCACCCAATGTGCTGATTCCAGGCTGTGAAGTTGACCAGTGTGAGGACTCAGCTACCATATGAATACTATTCCCTGGCATTCTGTCCACCACCTAATGGCATCACCCACAAGGCAGAGAACCTGGGTAAGTGGCAGGGAAATAGTTTGTTTATTCACGTTGTATACGTTTCTCCTCTCATAAGTTATGCATTTCAGGGTCATTGGGCTGCCTTGATTTTAAACAGTGTCAGTGAATTTCTTTTTATACTGAAGGCAGTAGTGTTACTGCTACATCACAGTGGAAAATGGTCAAATCTGAACCAGGCAAACCAGTGACATGAAGGGTGGTTCACTTACACTTTTGAAGGCCTATTGTTGATTTCTGGTGTCCCCATGTGGTGTAAAACTCACTCACCCACTCGCCCACATATCCACATATCCACCTGTGAAGGCATCAGATACCCATGATGTCAATTGCTGGATTGTCCAGTCCAGACTGGATTATTTTACAAACTGCCCTTATATAGCTGAAATATTGCTGTGTTCGGCATTAAACACAAAACACCCAAACAATGTATATTTTATGAGCATGATCAGTTTTAACATTTTATGTGATGTGTCATCTGTTGTTTAGGTGAGGTCTTGCGAGGAGATCGTATTGTCAACACACCATACAGGGTATGTATTGCTTTCATTCCTTCTGTTATCCTGTCTCACTCCTTTTGCCTTTGTCCATCTGTCTGTCATCCGTGCAAGATGTCATTTACAGAAAAGAAATCACAGTCCTTATGTTACTTTTGATCTGCTGCATTAAGACGTCATCATGATTTTGATGTTCTATAATAATTTTCACCCAGGTAAATATGGCCCAGAATATCTCATGTGAGACACTGTGTAACCACCCCAGTAGTCCGACCAAACCTGTGCAGATCAGTCAGAGTGGAGCAGCTGATTTTATTGACAGGATCAAGCACGACTACTTTGTGCATCTGTAAGTATCATGTTCATTCACTTCACCATGTCAAAGTTGAGTTGGTTGGTTGGTTTGTTGTTTTAACGCTACACTAAGCAATATTTCAGCTATATGCCAGCGATCTGTAAATAATCAAGTCTGTACCAGACAATGTAGTGATCAATATCATGAGCATCGATCTGCGCTGTTGGGAACCGATGACATGAGTCAACCAAGTCAGCGAACCTAACCACCTGATCCTGTTAGTCGCCTCTTACGATATTCATGGGTTACTGAAGACCAATTCTAAACCGGATCTCCATGAGTGCCATGTCATTAGGGTGGTGGGGTAGCCTAGTGGTTAAAGTGTTTGCTTGTCACACTGAAGACCCAGGTTCGATTCCCCACATGGGTACAACACTACAATTTGTAAACCCATTTCTGGTGTGTTCCCTGCAGTGATATTGCTGGATTTTAAAAGCGACATAAAACTAAACGCACTCACTCTCCATGTCAGGAAGTCCTGTATGTCCAACCGACGGTAATAAGACTGGATTAGTACTGATCGCAAAAAAAACACTATTGACATGACAACTACATGACATTCTAACATCACTTTCACTATCAAGTGTTAGCCACTGGTCTGTATCCCAAGTTGAGTAAAGTATGTTTGGTATAGCAAGCTCGGCTGATAATAGTCCATATGATAGCACTAAAATCTGAGCCATGTTTGGGCTAGTGGTCTCAACTGCCATCTTATTGCAGGTGTTTGAAAAGAAGAGTGATACCTTTCAGCATCCAGTCATTGACAAATCTTGTTCATTTTGAATGTGTGGTTGTTTTTTTGAGCTTTTCATGTCCAGCAGTGTATCATACAAACTCTTTCTTCATTAGTCGTCGTCGGACTAATTAATGAGTGTATTTTCCACCCCGTTATGTGGTGTTGTGATGGATGAATTGCCTTATCATTACAGAATTGTTGATAATCTGCCGTGTGCAACCAAATTTGAACTGCTCGACAGCAAAGAAGTTCAGTATGAGCATGGCTACAAGCTTGGATATGAGACTGGAAATGAGGTAATTGCAGTAACCTACATTGTTATCTCCCAAAACTTCTACATGCCCACACTGTAGATTACATATAATTGTGTGATCCTTTACTTCTTTTGGGATGTGTATTTCAAATTAGTGCATTTTAATACATCAGCTGGCAACAGAAAGTATGAGCTGATGGACCACTATTGAAATTGCATGTTCATGGATGGTATTTTCTTTGTAGGTGTACATCAATAACCATCTGCGACTTATCCTCAAGTATCACACAGATGATGAGTAAGTACCCTTCTCTGTAAGCACTGTATAACATCAATGATGAGTATGTACTATATATTACTCGGGTGGAAATAACCCATTGCCCGACGCCCAAGTCCAGTGTGTTTTTTCTGTCGGGCATGCAAATTTGTATATCACGCTGTACCAGTGTCCAGTTGACTTTCCAATGTTCATCGTGTTGCTTATTTAAAAAAATCAACAAGAAAGGTGTCTTGTATAGTGGAAACATTATCAGGGCAAGTGATTTTACATGTGCCACTGTACCAGAGTACACAAGCAATTTTAAAGTTATTTCCACCCCTGATTACTGTAGATAAGCGGATCTTATAGATAAGCTGACCACCTAACTTGACCCTCCAAATTGGTATATTCCATAGGTAAGCCAACCCCTCAAGCTTTGCTCATTTTTTCGTCGTCGTGATCAGTTATGGGGAATAGTGTCAACAAATCCACATTGAATTATGCAAGTTTCTTCTCCGATATTTACAACTTCATTCCGCATTATTTACAGCAATCACTATCATATTGCATCTACTCACTCCTCTAAATGAAGTGTTGTTGATAGAAAATGGATACGTATGCATATTTTGTTTCGCTTAAAGTCATATTTGTTGTTGCTGGACAATCACATGTCAACAAACTGTTTTCACGGTGGAAATAGCGAGATCGCGTGAAACATCATTGGTGTCAGGTGAAATTGTACCATGCATAAAAACATTCTGGCAAGACACCAAAGTGCTCTCACATGTAACCTTAGTTATAATTATAAATATTTTACATTTATAGAGCAAAACCTGCAATTAAAATGACCCAATGCTAGAATGTATTCTCATGGTAAAAAAATAGTTTCAGATACTTTATTTTCCTAATTACTGCATCAGAATTGATCTTGTTATATTATTGGGTATGTTTTAAAGAAATTACCAGTAGATGGGGGAGATGTGTGCACAGGTGATTGCTATTTCCTTCTGGCTCGGTATTCGAGACATATACACTTAGTAGTCTTAATCCCTGCATATATGATAATGCCTTGCGAAAAAGAAATTAGAACTGAAAAGGTAAATAATCTTGTCTAGTGATGTTAAATTGCAAATTTGACGTCTTTACTGACAGTCGTATTCTCTTGTTCGTTCACACGAAACAATATGATGTCGTTTTCTTACCCATTGAAAAAAAGTTTGACAAAAGTGTAACCCGTAGATAAGCTGACTTCCATCTACAGACTGTTTTTCTCTTTTTGTCCTCAAAATTTGGCTTATCTACCGTAACATATGGTATCCTTCTCTATAGACACTGTATAACACCAATGGTGAGTAAGTACCCTTCTGTAGACCCTGTTACCTTCATTGTCAATAGTACACTGTTTTTCTTTTTCAGCAAATCATTCAGAGTGGTTGCTTTTGAAGTGGAACCAAGGAGGTAAGAATATAATAGCTTGACTTAATGTTTTGGGTGGAAATGTGCTGAAACACAGATTTCATCATCGGTCATTGCCTCCCTTAGAAATATCAGGATCTGCTGATCATGGGTTTTCAGCAATGTTGCTTATATTATGTACTTACTTTGCGCTATCCTCTGTGCACTCAGTTCATGATCTGAGTAGGACCCTCTCAGTAAACATATATGGCCCCTGCTCACAGGCGCTCATATGAAAAGCATTTGCAGATACATAAAGTACTAATGTGGCACAGTGCCCCAAAAGTTTCTCCACCAACATATCTGCCTTGTGCATGTTATGTGCATCACAGAAAAGATATGTTTTGAGTTGTGATGCAAAGTTTCAAATTTGTTGGAACGACTGATATTAGAAAGGCAAGGGGCACAACACAGAGGAGTTCCGTTTGTGCGGAAAGATCTGTATCCAGATTGTGGAAAGACAGTTGGTGTACATCTTCTGATTGAACTGATCTTTGTGGCGTGTATTGTATTGAAAAGTGTGGACAGGTGTGCTGGTGCTAGGCCTTCCTGACAGTTATAAATTAAAAGAAAGTCAAAGACTTCCATGACTGTATGGGGCAGTAGGGTAGCCTAGTGGTTAAAGCGTTCGCTCGTCACGCCGAAGACCCGGGTTCGATCCCCCTCATGGGTACAATGTGTGAAGCCCATTTCTGGTGCCTGCTGCCATGATATTGCTGGAATATTGCTGAAAGGGGTGTAAAACCAAACTTACTCACTCCATGACGTAAACGCTTTCATCCCACATTAGCTGATCTGCCTCAATATTCATGCCGCTGTTGATTACTGGATTGTCTGGTCCAGATTTACAGACCACCACCAAATAGCTGGAATATTGCTGAGTGCGGTGTAAAACTCAACTCACTCACTCACTCACTCACTCAATATTCATGCCTCAAAGTTCAAGCAGTTGTAAACCAAGGCCCTCATTGATCATCGGTCTAGTGGAGTGACAGTATGTCATATCTCCGGTTGTTAATACCAATACAAGATAAGATTGAATGTTTTGAAAATGTCTGCAATCATATCACCTATCTGTGACCATGCTTTGGATAGTTTATTATCAGAATTAACCCCAGGTGTGTTAAATATAATCTGTTAGTTGTGCCTCTGTTCTCTCAGTATCTGGGCAGTGGGGTAGCCTAGTAGTTAAAGCGTTGACTCGTCACACCAAAGACCCAGGTTTGATTCCCCACATGGGTACAATGTGTGAAGCCCATTTCTGGTGTCCCTCAATGTGATAATGCTGGAATATTACTAAAAGCGGCGTAAAACCAAACTCACTCACTCTTTCAGTATCAATAATGGAGAATTAGGTGTTGATGACAAGGGAATTTGTAAGCAGAAGAACCTGGACAGAAAACCTGCCCCTCAGAAAATCAATGCCCAAGGTAGGTTTTGACTGCTTTGTAAAAACATTTATTACTGGATACCAGCACAATATGCATATAGCTAAGTGTATAGAGTGATTGATGGATTGATTATTGTTATTTCTCCAATTACGAAAACTCCCAGCTGGCACAACCATAGTTGTAGTTGGACTATGATCAATTATGAAACAGTTGTTGGCCTGTTTGGATTCTTATCATACCTTCAACAGATGTTGCCACAGTATCTTATATTTGCATACCCACTGACTAGGCCAGTAATCCACGTTTCATGTCCATTACTTTTGTATTAACATGTTCCATGGCCAATCATTGTTTTCTAATGAAGACAGATCTGAATACTAGGTATTTTCTTCTTTGTTAATTGTTCATTTGTGACTGACTGAACCAATCAAAATATAGCTTCACATGCTTGTGAGAAATTCAAATTTGTTTTTCAGTATGCCATAATTGAAAAAATTAAACAAAACGTGGTAGATATATCAAACAGAACCTAAAGTGGTGCCTTTTGCTATTTGGCAGAATTTTGTCATTTTTATTTTTATTGCTTTCCATGGAAACGTTTTGGACTAAGTCTCAAAAGGGAGGGAGGGGCTTTGTTTCCGGAGCACAACTCGAAAACTTCTTAATATCTTTCAGCAAAACTTGGCAGATTTATGAGTCAGATCTTGAAGTGGTGCCTTTTGCTATTTACACATATTTGGCATTTATATTTTTATCATGATTTCCATGGAAACGATTTGGATTAGTCTAAAAAGACATCAAGCTGGACTTTAAGTAACTGTCAGATGATTTGTTCTTTCAAATATGTGTGGGCCGGGGGTATATGTCATCTTCTGATGACTCTTGTATAGTGATAGTGACACTCCGTGGTTGCTATATCCTTAATAGTTTCAGTGTTAAAGTTATCATATTTTACGTCAGCTATCGTTTATAATGAAGCTTACTCACATTTCAAAATGGTCATTCAAAAATTGTCCATTGTAATACAATGTCATTGCACACTTATTTGCACAAAGCCATGGTCTGTTCCAAATTAGTTGCTTTGGACTTTGGATAAATACACATTGCTCAGTTCTGCACTAATCTCTCCTTAGTAAAGTAATTTTTTTACGTTTCCTATCTCCCTACCACTGAGACTGTAGTTAGGCCTAACTTAGTTTAACAGATATTTCACACTTTCACATATTACCTACATAAATTGTGGATATAAATGTGAATAAACACAGGGTTTTTTTTCTGACAGTACTTTAGTACCAGTATGTTCAGTGTTAGTATTCTGCAGAATCTTGTTATATATCTTTTGTGTTTTATGTAAAGCTGCTTTATGAATAAACTATCACCATGGAAACTTGATGACTCATGTTTCACATATCGATGTCACAAATTACTGAACCAAATAATGATGAGTTCAGCAGATTATCGAAAGAACAACTGTTCTGCTTGTCCAAAGAATATCTTGATATATAACTTGTTGGAGATAGTGTAAATTGTAGCTAAAACATTTACTTGAAATTCTTTGATGTTTTGAAATTTTACATGTCTTAACATTGAATTTCCATCCCTGCATATCTGGTGTTCTCCACTGTGAATATATATGGTACTGGAATCTTTGTTAAAGTGTGGTAATTTTACACACAGCGTGTTGACCTCCTCCGGTGTAGTGGTTAGAACGTCCGCCCAGAGAGCGGAAGGTTGCGGGTTCGATCCCCGACCGCATCATACCGAAAGACGTTAAAATATGGTACTTGTTGGTCCCAGCCTGGCGCTCGGCTTAATGGGTACAACAAGGACTGGTCTGCTCGGAGTCAGTATAATGTGTCTGAGTGGGGTATTCATGCTTCACTGCGGCATGGTAGCTCAGTGGGCTAGCACTATAAAACCAGCTTAAGTCTGGGCTAGTACAAGCAGCCGCACATACACACGCATGCACGTCGACATATGAGCGAAATATTCTCAAGCACCACGTTAAACCCAATCTCACCTCACCTCACACACGGTGTGTTACTGTTTCAGGTGTGACAGACGTACTGTTTACATACGAGGTGAACTGGGTGAAGAGTGAAATCCGTTGGGCCTCCCCGCTGGGACACCTACTTGTCCATGAGTGATGTCCAGATTCACTGGTTCTCCATCGTCAACTCTGTCGTCGTTGTCTTCTTCCTCTCAGGTAAGCCATCTCGCATGTTACCTTGACCCATTTCACTTATAGATGACAACAGTAGGAAAGACTTAATTGGGTTACTTTAGTGGAGGGGCGTTGGGATAGCCTAGTGGTTAAAGCATTGGATCATCACGCTGAAAACCCGGGGTTCGATTCCCCACATGGGTACAATGTGTGAAGCCCATTTCTGGTGTCCCACGCCGTGATATTGCTGGAATGTTGCTAAAAGCAGCGTAAAACTAAACTCACTCACTCACTCATGGATTGGTTGATTGTGTCATCATAGCCCAACAATGGCTCGTTGCCCACCATATCAATCACTGGATTATTTGGTCCAGATTTAAATATTTACAGGCTACATGTAACTGCAATATTGCTGTTGGCATTTTAACAACAAACAAACACAATTTTGCAGTGTTGCCATAGGGATTAGTAGATTAGATCCCCAGAGTCCTGGTCCTGTTTGGTTTGGTTGTTCAAGACCAATTCTAACCTGGATCTTCTGGTTGATGGTGGCAACTAATGAACTCAAGTTCAAAATCAACCCAAGTCCACTATTGCAGCTAAAATAAGATTCAGGAAGGACAAGTAACATTTCCTGGTGGACTACAAGTTGTAACAAGATGGTGTCTCTGTTGCGGATAAAGTTTAAAATATTGGAAATATAAGATAATATCTAGCCCTGTGCTGTTTATTTACATGTTAATAATAATGTTGCATAGTCTTTGAAGAAACCCATTCAATATTTTTAGGTCATCATTTGCAATTAAACCAAAATATATCTAACTATGCCCCCCTAGAAAATTGCATGTTGTTTTGGTTACACATCCACTCACAGTAATGATGACCATTGAGATGTTTTTCACAAACAGGTATCCTGACAATGATCATGGTTCGTACCCTACGTCGGGACATTGCGAAATACAATAAAGATGAAGATGTGGTAAGTTTATCTCTATGGTATAATTTTCCCAATATGTAATAGTTTCCAAATGATACAAAGCAAGCACCACCGACTACTGTTACTCCTTATGATTCTAAGATGTAATTGATTTCCAGTATTAAAAATATCGGCTGTGGTGTCCACATAACCTAACCCAGATGTTGAAAGTTCAGACTCAGATGCCAGGAGCATTATTTTCCATCACTGGAATTTCTCCAGCATAAAGCTGGACTCAAATCATTTCAACCATTTTCAGGATGAGACCATTGAGGAAACTGGTTGGAAACTTGTCCATGGTGATGTGTTCCGTCCTCCACGAAAGTCCAAGATCCTCGCAGCTCTGGTCGGCTCGGGCATGCAGATCTTCTTCATGGCCCTCATCACTATATGTGAGTAGAGATATATCTTGTCCATGCATTCGATGATCATGGATATCTACTGTCCTTTTTAAAAACCAGGGTCCCGATACACAAAGCATTCGTAATGTTATAACCCGTCGTAACTCTATAGTTTAGCGCTGGCGCTGGCGCTACAAACTTTTTGTGGATTGGTACCCAGGTGTATTTTTGGCAATCCAGATGTTATATTATCCCACGCCGGGCGTTTCCCTTAAATGTTTTTCAAAAAGCAGTTTCTTTAGTACTATTTTTAGCATATTTCAAACACTATGACATTCATGTCAAAGTCAGTCTTGAAAATATGTGTGTGTTTGAACACCTAAAGAGCAAGACATCAAGAGAGATTGACTGGTCATGTTTTTGTTGACATTTAACTTAAACTGTCATTACTTTATAAGTTTGATTTGATAATTTGCGGCAGGGGATTATGCTTGTTTAGGCATTTGGTGTCTGGTTAGATAATATAACGTAGACAACAAACAATCAAAAGACAAGACAAGAAGTGTTAATAATTCGCTGACAACACTGAAATATTGATGCATTCCTCAATGGAAGGGAAGCAACTCCTCTACAATTGTCACTTGCATTCATCAGAATATAGCCAATATTGTCATTGGATGACTCTCAATCTCTCCCAATGAAGTCATTTCTTGCTGAATATTGTTTTATGCATGTTTTTCATAACAGAAATGTGAGTCTTTGTGACACTTAATTGAGGATGGAAAAAATGAGTTGTACATTTGTTGTGGTTAGCAATTTTGTTACAGCTTTTTGCACAGTATCAACAAGTACTGAAGTAATTACCAAATAGAACTTCTTTATGATGAGAAATAAAGCTTTAGAGGAGCTTGGTTGATGATTTGTCATCAAGTTTGATAGCTACATCTCCTGCAAGGTTTGATTTGCAGCATCAAGAAGTTATGCTCCATTGGTTGCTGTATTTGGTGTTTTACTGAGTAACTCAGAAGTTGCTTCCAAAGGATCTATGATGAAAGGAATAAGATCAGTGTTGCTTTTTTTAACCTGAAATGTTAAATGGTTGTGTCAAAAGACTTTGGATGATTGTATTTGTTCCAGTTTTCGCCATGCTCGGAATGTTGTCTCCAGCCTCTCGAGGAGCTCTCATGACTGCTGCCATTTTCTTGTTCATGTTCTCAGGGTGAGTGTGGGTTGTTTCTGTACACTTAACAGAGGTCCAAGGTCCGGGTTAGAATTGATCTTCAGTAACCTATGCTTGTCGTAAGAGGCGACGAACGGGATCGGGTGGTCAGGCTAACTGGCTTGGTTGACACATGTACATCATCGGTTCCCAATTGCGCAGATCGATGCTCATGCTGTTGATCACTGGATTGTCTGGTCCAGACTCGATTATTTACAGACTACGGCCATATACTTGGACTATTGCTCAGTGCGGGCATAAAACTAAATTCACTCTTGAATGTATACAGTGCAATGTGTCTTAAACAATGTATGCATAGTGAATCTTGACAGAAATGCGTTCACAAGGTGTCAGATGAATTCATTCAGTAGTAGGAATGCTGACAGGATACCCAAAACAGTGCACTTGAGTCTGTCAAACAGTGACATGAAATTACAATAACATTGAAAGTGTTGAGGTTCTCTGTTAACAAGAGATGTTATGTTTCAAAACATGATCAGTACTTCACTCGCATGGTGACGTGGCTACTTCATTGAATGGTGGTCAGGCTCACTGACTTGGTTGACACATGTCATCATATCCTAATTGCGTAGATTGATGCTCATGCTATTGACCACTGGATTGTCTCATCCAGGCTAGATTATTTACAGACTGCTACCATATAGCTGGAATATTGCTGAGTGTGGCAGAAAACAACAAACCAGACCAAAAATTATTGAATGTTTATTGCTCTAGAACTGGCAGTACTGTAAAGATCTGATTACAAATAACTGTACTTAACCACAAGCAAAGTACAATGTTACCCAACTAATATAAGCAATATCATCCTCATCTTCAGTGAAGATTTTTGCCAAACTCACCGAAGATCCATTATTTCTATAAATGTACTCACATTGCTTCTTCCAAGCATTTCCCCTGCCGTGATGTTGCTGTAACATTGATAAAAGCAGTGTAAAACCCAACTAACTAACTCACTCACTCACTCACCCTCTCTCTCTCTCTCTCTCTCTCACTCACTCACTCACTCACTCACTCCAAACATTTCCTACATTATTTTTCATATAGGCTCAGCATTTGTTTTATTATTTTTCAGTTTATTTGCTGGCTATTTCTCAGCCCGCATCTACAAAACCTTGAAAGGTCTCCAGTGGAAACAAGCTGCACTACAGGTACACTCGATATATGACAGTTTTGTTTATAAATATATATACGAATAAAAGGGTGAATACAGCCATCCAGTGTATAATATGACTCATCAATACGAAACTCATTCATTTTGCTTGTTGCATACTTGAACTATTGACAGAGCCCAGTGATCTATTTTCAAAACAGTATTCATAGTATTGCTCACTTGCTTGCTCACTTAAAACAGGGGATTCTCAGTTGGAACTGAGCCCTTTAGCAGTGTATGAAATAAGCCCAAAACACAGCCAGACATCCGGGCTGGTAACTTCAAAATGTTACCAGCCCAAAATGGATTTAACCAGACCAGACAATACTATTTTTTCAGTTACAATGAATAATTTAATGAACCTTAGACGTGTATTTACTCCGCGCATCTATAGGTGTCTCTGTTTCAGTATGTCAACGCAGGGCTTTGAGCTTGTGATACGATAGTTTAATGTTCAAATAGTAATTGTCAAGTCTAAATGTAAAGCTCAGTTTGAAAAATAGATTTTAAAACGTGGTGAATTTACTCCGATTCATGAAAATGTTATCTAAGTTTTTACCAGACCATCGGGCTGGCTAGCTGTATATTTAGACCGTCCAACAGAAATCCAGCCCGTCTCGGGCGGTCGGACAGGCCTTATTTCATACACAGCCTTTAGCCTATGCTTTTTGTAAGTTCTACTTAGCTTGAATATTAGCTTATATATTACTGAGGAGCGTTTTCAACACCAAATACATCCCGAGTTCAGCTAACATTGTTTCTCTTCAGACTGGCTTGCTGTTCCCGGGAGTTGTGTTCGGTATCTGTTTCCTTCTCAACTTCTTCATCTGGGGCAAGCACTCGTCTGGTGCTGTGCCATTCACTACCATGATTGCACTGCTGTGTATGTGGTTCGGAATCGCTCTGCCTCTTGTGTTCCTGGGATACTACTTCGGATACCGCAAACAGGTCAGTTACAAATGTACAATGTAAAGACGATATTACTTTCAAGAATTATGATTAGTTGTAATGATGAATGGTTTACTGTTTTACTGATAAGTGACAATGCTTCCTTTGTTCCAGTGTGAATATGGCTTTGAGAAAAATATGATATTCATAGTATGTACAACACAAGAGAAATTAAGGACTACCTGATTCTGTTGTATACTGGAGTTTCTTTGCCGTGGAATTTCTGCTTCATCGCATAATTTCTTTCTAAATGATTTGTCTTGAATGATGCAAGGAAAGTGACCATGACACGTGATAATTGCAGCCCTATGAGCATCCTGTCCGAACCAACCAGATCCCCAGACAGGTGCCTGAACAGACCTGGTACATGAACTCCTCTCTTGGGTATGTCTCACATCATCTTTTGAACTCTACCTCTTGCTTAGTTTGCACATGATTCATAAGCACTTACTTTGAACTGGGAAAGTGGAGTTGAACCTCCCAGTCAGGGATCCTTGGTGTGTAAGAACCACACACTTATGATCCTTGGTTTGTAAGAACCACACACTTATGATCCTTGGTGTGTAAGAACCACACACTTATGATCCTTGGTTTGTAAGAACTACAACTTATGATCCTTGGTGTGTGAGAACCACACACTTATGATCCTTGGTGTGTAAGAACATACACTTATGATCTTTGGTTTGTACCAACTACAACTTATGATCCTTGGTGTGTAAGAACCACACACTTATGATCCTTGGTGTGTAAGAACATACACTTATGATCTTTGGTTTGTACCAACTACAACTTATGATCCTTGGTGTGTAAGAACCACACACTTATGATCTTTGGTGTGTAAGAACCACACACTTATGATCCTTGGTGTGTAAGAACCACACACTTATGATCCTTGGTGTGTAAGAACCACACACTTATGATCTTTGGTGTGTAAGAACTACACACTTATGATCCTTATGATCCTTGGTGTGTAAGAACCACACTTATGATCCTTGGTGTGTAAGAACCACACACTTATGATCCTTGGTGTGTAAGAACCACACACTTATGATCCTTGGTGTGTAAGAACCACACACTTATGATCCTTGGTTTGTAAGAACCACACACTTATGATCCTTGGTTTGTAAGAACCACACACTTATGATCCTTGGTTTGTAAGAACCACACACTTATGATCCTTGGTTTGTAAGAACCACACACTTATGATCCTTGGTTTGTAAGAACCACACACTTATGATCCTTGGTGTGTAAGAACCACACACTTATGATCCTTGGTTTGTAAGAACCACACACTTATGATCCTTGGTTTGTAAGAACACACACTTATGATCCTTGGTGTGTAAGAACCACACACTTATGATCCTTGCTTTGTAAGAACCACACACTTATGATCCTTGCTTTGTAAGAACCATACACCTACTTATTGGTTTTTCTCATCATCGTTTGTCTTTTTATCAATAAAGAAATTTAACCCATTATAGCCCTCCTTTTCCCCCAGCAAATAACCCCCATGTTACAATGGAAATTAGGTAATAGGGTATAGTTTATGAAAGCAGGAGTGCAAAGGGACTTCAGTCAGTTTGACTAATATTATAGGACCTAATGTCTCGATTTTCAACTAGTAGACGTTTTATGTGAAGTCCCATCCATGTGACACTCAGCCATTATGGTTCAGTCTCAATATGACACCTCTTCTATCTTCAGTACTCTGATGGCTGGCATCCTGCCCTTTGGAGCTATGTTCATCGAACTCTTCTTCATCTTCACTGTGAGTATACCATTATGGTTGGGATACACATATTGGGGTACACGCTGTAAAGTGGATAGTAGGAGTAGATATCGCTGCTCTGTTTGCATCAGTTCACAACATGTTTGTTTTGAGATATTAATGTTTATAAAAATGTGTAAATTAAAATAAGACACTTAACCAATGATTGTTATTCTTCACTTGTTTCTATGGGACCATTATTTGTCTTGACAAAACATCTCTGTTGGTATAATCAATAATGTATAAATTTACATATGCCTTTTGGGGATGAGAATAATGACCTCTGTGAATAATATAATTAAAACGTAAACATTCCCTCTGGATTATGGTAGCCTTTTTCCTGTGGATACACAGAATACATACAGAAAATCAAAAGAAATTCAGAAATGAGGTAAATTTAGCCGGCTATTGAATAAGGCTACCATAATCCAGAGGTAAGTTTACTAACAATTACTAACAATACATGTAATTGTTCCTGTTTAAGCCATAAACTAGGTGCTGTCTATAGAGAGTTTGTATGACTTCTGCAGTTAAACTTGGATTCTTTGTTGCAGGCCATCTGGGAGAACCAGTTCTACTACCTGTTTGGTTTTTCTCTTCATTGTGTTCATCATTCTCATCGTCTCCGTTTCACAAATCTCCATCGTCATGGTCTACTTTCAACTGTGTGGCGAGGTAGGCGTTTCTTCTTTCAACTTTCAAAAGGGGCAGTGGGCTGTTGTTAAATTGTGTATTTAGATTTGGGTTTGTTGACATGGTATTTCGGGTGTTGCATGCTCATGGTAATGACTTTATAATCATATAAATGTAATCAAGGTTCGTCAATTGTGTGCAGTTACTGCTTCTGTAAGGGAGGCTTATTGATCAGCTTGACCCGTGAAGATCCGGGGTAGAATAGGTCTTCAGCAACCCATTCTTGTCATAAAAGGCGACTGCTTGTCGTAAAAGGCGACTAACGGGATCGGGTGGTCAGGCTCGCTGACTTGGTTGACACATGTCATCGGTTCCCAATTGCGCAGATCGATGCTCATGCTGTTGATCACTGGATTGTCTGGTCCAGACTCGATTATTTACAGACCGCCGCCATATAGCTGGAATATTGCTGAGTGCGGCGTAAAACTCAACTCACTCACTATTGATCAGCTTACTTGCCAGTAATAGCAAATGATCATGAAAGTCGAAGAAGGACTTATAGTGAGCATTACCGAAAAGCCTCTCAAGAAAAAACAAAACAAAATAATAAACAAAAACAATGCAAGAGTGCTCCTTCCCATACTGGGGCAGTGGGTTAGCCTAGTAGTTCAAGAATTCGCTCATCACGCTAAAGAACCGGGTTCGATTCCCCGAATGGGTACAATGTGTGAAGCCCTTTTCTTGTGTCCCCCCGCCGTGATATTGCAGGAATATTGCTTAAAAACGGCGTAAAACTAAACACAGTCAGCCCATACTATCCACTGACACCATTTCTATTGGTATCCCACTGGGGCAGGAGTGATGGGACACAGGGCCCACTCATATCTAACTGCATGCACCCTGGGGTAGGTGGGCCCTTATCAGATGAAATCCAAAATGGCCCTTGAAGTGTTGTGTTGTTCAAATACAATATCGATTGTTGTTTTGCTTAATATCTATTCTGTTGTTATGTTGTTGTTTATGACTGGATCTCTCTTTCCAGGACTACCACTGGTGGTGGAGATCATATATTGTGTCTGGAGGCTCTGCTGTGTACATCTTTGCATACTCTGTATTCTATTTCATAACCAAGGTAAGTGTTGTTAGATAAACTCTTGTCCTGAAGGGGTCAGTGGGGTCGCCCAGTAGTTAAAGCGTTTGCTTGTCACGCCGAAGACCCAGGTTTGATTCCCCACATGGGTACTATGTGAGAAGCCCATTTCTGGTGTCCCCCGCAGTGATATTGCTGGAATATTGCTAGAAGCGACGTAAAACTAAACTCACTCGAAACAGTTTGACTACTTTGTTATGCAAAAGGTCCCCTGCTGTAATATTTCTTGAATATCGATAAAAGCGTCATAAAACCTAATTCACTCACTGTTATGTAAACAATATGCCAACTGTATAATCCCCTTACTTCAACTGTAAATAGGTAGTATACGTGCATGAAACATTTTTTGATTTGTGATATTCATGAAACATTTCTGTCATCGTGGGTGACCAAGTGCCACAGTCCACCCATGTTCATTCACAGACTATTGCATCAGGCGTCCCTTAAATCAAGTCAAGAGGATAGGATCCATGATAAAGGGCTTAAAATCCCAGTTGGGACTCTAAAACTGAGAAGGTCCCCAGTATCAGGGGTGGAAATAACCCATTGCCCGACGTCCGAGTCCAGTGTTTGTTTCTGTCGGGCAAGCAGATTTGTATATCACACTGTACCTGTGTCCAGTTGACTTATCAATGTTAATTATGTTGTTTATTTTAAAAATCAACAAGAAAACAGCCGGTACAGTGGAAAAATTATCAGGGCAAGTGATTTTACATGTGCCACTGTACCGGGAGTACACTAGCAATTTTAAAGATATTTCCACCCCTGAGTATCCTCAGTAAGAGTAAACAAAACTTGAGTTGTCTCTGTGACTTGCTTAATTTCTTGTCTTCATACCTTGACCGTGAGGAACTTAGCACATAATATCAGCCTGCATTGTATATGCATTCTCTTCCCACAGAGGTTACTTGTCATATCTTCCTACGAACCTCTGTTCTAATACAGACATATTTCCCGGTTCTCGTAAAATCCCCCAGCGGCAAAAATCGCAACACGAAATATCTCCCTTTTTTCTATCCAATCAGAACACATCTTACATCGACTTAGATCCAACTTGAGTAATACAAGCAAATGTGGGGCCACAAATATCCGTCCTCTGCTGGGGACACACAAGACATTTAATGGCTAGCTTGTCTGTTGTCAACGAAAGTGATAATTGATCCACCATTACAGTTCTGTCTAGAAGAAACTTTTGCGCATGGCACAGGGAAAGAGGTTCTAGTTGTCCCAAAGCATACGGAAATTATCGAGACCTTGTGAATGATCACTTTTGAAACAACATTGCTTATTGCACAACTAAATCTGATTGCAACCAATCACCAATCCTGAACACTCACGCCATGAAAGGGCCGTATTAGAACATAGGTTTGTAGGAAGATATGACAAGTAGCCCCTGTGGGAAGAGAATGTTGTTTATGAGGAAACTAACATTTTCACTGCAACAAATTTTTTTTAGAGAAACCTTAAGTTCTCTCATTTTCTATCTTGACTTGGGAACGTGGGGTAGCCTAGTGGTTAAAGTGTTGCTTGTCTTGCTTAAAACAAGAGTTTGAAACCCCACATGGGTACAATGTGTGAATCCATTTCTGGTGTCCCCCCGCCATGATATTGCTGGATTTTGCCAAAAGCTGTGTAAAACCATACTCACTCTTCATGACATGCCGTCCGCCCGGAGAGCAGAAGGTCGCGGGTTCAATCCCCGACCGCGTCATACCTAAAGACGTTCAAATATGGTACTTGTTGGTCCCTGCCTGGCGCTCGGCATTAATGGCTACAACAAGGACTGGTCGTCTCGGAGTCAGTATAATGTGTCTGAGTGGGGTATTCATGCTTCACTGCGGCGTGGTATCTCAGTGGGCTAGAACTATAAAACCAGCTTAAGTCTGGGCTAGTACAAGCAGCCGCACATACACATACTCGTGCAAGCACGTCGTCATGTGCAAAATATTCTCAATCACGTTAAACCCAATTTCACCTCACCTCACCTCACCTCATGACATGCCCAATTATTCAGAATTCATTATTGTTATTTCTACTCAACTTCTTTTCGGAATTTGATTGGATATTTGCTTGTTATTTCAGCTTGAGATCACAGAGTTCATCCCCACACTGTTGTACTTTGGCTACACTGGGATCATTGTGCTCACATTCTGGGTGCTGACAGGCACAATCGGCTTCTATGCAGCCTACTGGTTCATCCGCAAGATATACGCTGCCATCAAGATAGATTAAGGGTTGTAATTTTAGGTATGTTCCGACTTTGAATGAGGTTATGTGTGGTCACGAGTGAGAGGCGTAATCTTTCAGTGTATTCAATGAGGAAAGAGGTGTTGACTCTCATACATAAGGGGGTATTTTATTGTGGTGATGTTACTAAGGTATTTTTATTGGATACTAGAATGTACTTGAAGATATTGTGTTCTTCAGAACAAGATTGTTCACAATATGAACCTATTGTTTGATTTCTGGAAAATAATCCTGGTTCCAGGTTTTCTTATATCCTTGAGGGGCGGTGGGGTAGCCTAGTGGTCAAAGCGTTGGCTCGTCACGCCGAAGCCCCGGGTTCGATTCCCCACATGGGCACAATGTGTGAAGCCCATTTCTGGTGTCCCCTGCCGTGATGTTGCTGGAATATTGCTAAAAGCGGCGTAAAACTAAACTCAGTCAGTCAGGCAGTCTTATATCCTTGAAAAACCCTCTTCAACTCTCTCCCCGGCCCCATTACAAAAAGATATGTTGTGAAATAATTTTGATAAAAAATCGAAAAAGTTCATTCTATTTGAATTGTAGACTGAAATAGCTTTCGTTTCTAGAAAAGTATATTCGTACAGTTATTAATTAGCTGTAGCAAATATTTGGACCATTTTGTGAACAAATATCTTACAGTAATGAATCTTTACAGCTTGTGTAATTAATGTTCATATTGTATTATAAAACAGTCAGACATACTATGTACATATCCATGTATATATAAGTGTTTCATTGGCAGATCAATATTTCATTGTGATTTATAAGAAAGTGCTTACATATTTATATTCTATTCCTTTAAGATAAAATGCGTAACAGTTTGGAGAACTTGAAACATGCAGAAACCATGAGGTTTGATTATTGCAATTTTGTAAAAACTGTTTCGTGAAAGCTTTAGCCCCATCATTCCAAGTATTTCATACTTATTCTCCAGATGAAATAGGAATTCATTGAGCTGAAGTTGTGTGGAATACAACTAATCTGTATCATTAGATTGCGAACACTAATGTCAGATAATTCAGAAAATCGGTAGACTTTGTTCCATTGTTCTCCAATCATATTCTCATGGAAAGAATTTAGTAGCACAAAAGAGCTAGCCAATCTCAATAGTTCATGCATCTTACAGTAGGTAGCTTCATTTATAAATGGTAATACAATGTCTTGAAGAAATTGTTACCTCAAAGCCTATAAAGCCTTTGTGTAATATGTTTTTAGAGAGCCAATCGTTCTATATTTGCTCTGGGGTTTTCTGTTTTCTGGGTATATGTGAAACTGTTTCATGCTCTGGCTTTCAAGAAAGCTGTTAGCCATTGCATATACGAAGTCTCTGACCACGCTTTGCTAAGATGGTTTCAGATGATGTTTTGAAGACAGTGACATTTATATTTACAGGCTTTAGTCACTTTTCATGTGTGTTGTGGGTGTAAAATATTTAAAGAAGACTTATAATTCAATATTAATGTATTTATTTAATTCCTTGAGGTTTCATCTTCCAGGCTCTTAATTTTTCTATGTCCGTGGTACATGTTGATTCCAACACGTATATATTTTCCTTTTGGTAGAATTATTCTGTAGCTGCTTCTTGTGGTTTAAATATTTCTTAAGAATACGCATAATTTTACAAGTTAGCTCCAAGTGTGTAACAAGACCGCCTGTTGTCAGTTGCCATAGTAACGCATCACATTCTGCATGGCAAGTTTATTCAACATCATGATGCATCACTATCATTATTTATGTTCATCTTGTTAACAAATGTTATGTGTACGTAGCCATGTTTTTTTGTTTTGTTTCATTAACTCTTTTAACCTCTTGTTACATACTTCAGATTGTTAGTGGTTAGCGATTGTAAACTTGTTCCAAGCCAGTTAGAAGCTCACACTGTCAACAAGCTTTGTGTTGGAATTCAGAACTTGTCTTACTTTAAACCACTTTGTTAAAACAGGTACATCCCAGAAAGTTTTTGCAATCAAATATTCCTTCTAGTCCACAATAGATCTAGACATTACCAGATTAGCTATTCAAAACTAGGCTGTCGGTGCCTGCCTTTGCCTATTTGCCATATTTTTTCAATTCTGAATATTTGCATACAGAATCTTTTTTCTTTGGGTTTGCATGCGAGGTTGATATTATATACTACCCAAAATAAGTTCTAGCACATGAACAGTTAAAAGGCTGTGTAGTATGATTCCCACAAACTAGATTAACTGGGTGCAATGACAGTTTAGGAAATATATGTGCTTATTTGATTAAAACTGTAGACTTTCATGTAGACCTGCTTGGAATTATATTCCGATTTCCTGATGGGATGTGGAGTTGTCCCCTTATCATGAGGTAATTGATTAAATCATGTTTGCCCTCAGCCTCAGTCCATTACTGGTCCATTAATTTAAGTGACTGTAACTTTTCAAGTATATTTTGGTCAAATCAGCTCAAAGACATGGCATGATTGACAGACAGTATTTTGATAGATCCTGTAGACAAGTACATCCATGCACTAAAGCGTGGAATGACTTGGATTATATACTTAGGATTCTACTTTTACAATGTTTTTTTTGTAGTTATCTGTGGACAATGAATATTAACGTCGTACTGGTTGGGTAGTCACGGTTACTGAATTGGGCAAGTCAGACATGGTTTTTCAGCTCACAAGAATATAGATTGTTATGATCAGTTTTAAACGACAATTGTAATTGATGTTAACATTGTTCAGCCAGTAAGCAGTGAAGATGGTCTATATTGTGGGACATTGTGTGTGATGATGATATGATGAACCATTATCTCAATGACAGCATGTCATGTGTTGTATATTTTGATTGTCAAGTGAATTGACTAATTTAAGGCATATTCATTGTACGACACAGAATTCTGACCTCTGAAGTGTAATGTTTGTAAATAGAAGTAACCATTCATCAATGTTTGTGATACTGTGATCTGTAAAGTAAGCATTACTGCTGCATTTTGGTCTGTTTGGGGGAAAAAATATCGACATTTGACAACACAGTACTTAAATTCATAAATCTGTTAAAGCTTTAAAAACTGTTTGAAGACTTAAAAGACAGACACATACATTTAAAACTGTATTTATTAGATATTGTTTAGTTCAGAGACCTAAAATCAAGCAATTAGGGGAATAATTTAAGTGATTGTGTTTTGACCAATAGATGTGTTGGGAATGATCCTTGGATGATGTCTGTGCAGATCTGCACCATGGCGGCCATGTTGGATGATTTTATAGCACCCCTATATGTTCAGTTCAGTATTTCAGTAGAAGTTTACATTTCATTCTCTGTAAGTATGTATGTATGCGTGTCCGGAGCATGTTGATACAGTCCACCTGTTTTGGGAAACTAACATTGTATATATTTGAAGGTTTCACTATGAGGATGTATTATCTTTGCATCTGTTTCCTGGTTTGGGGAACATGATTGGCAACTTGAGGGAAATAAACTTGTATTTTCTAAACAATTTTTTTTTTTTTGTTGTGTGTTGAATTTGTTGTTAAATACTGCAGTCATGAATATTCCAGCTGTATGATCAAATTATCTTGTTCGAACCAGACAGTCCAGTGGTGGACATCACGAACAGCTAGCTAAACAAACAGGATACGCTGACATCATTATCAAAGTCTGTTACATGCTTTTAGTGATTTCTTTACAAAAATCAGTAAGATGGTAAATGTAGACATCATTGGGAGTACCAAGATGCATTTTGGGACTGAACATTCATGACTGATTTAGAAGTTGGTTGAGTTCATTCCCAGAAGTGATTTGTTCCATTTAAGAATACTACCTTGACCGGTGTGTGAAATGTTTGCGAATGTTATTTTGGACCAGTACAGACAGGACCACAAATTATTGTCCACTCAATGCTCCTGTGACTAGAGGGAAATTTTGAAAGGTTTCTTTCCCTGCTTGACAGCTGCTTATTAATCATCTGGGTCACATTTGACACATCAGTGCGTTACACTGTGCAGAGTTGTCTCCCTTAGGCACACCAGAACCTACAAATATTTTGATGTCTCAAGTCACAGTCAGCAAATCAAGCATTACCATGACAACATGTAAATAATCAGGTTTGGTTGGTAGTATTATATATTAGTGCAGTATTATGACAGGCCAGGTCACACATTAACCATCAACATTGGCCCTTCTCACCATCAACCACAAACATAACCACTCACTGACAGTCTGCTCTACTCTGGAATTCAAATATAAATATGTAAAGCTTAAGGTCAAAGTTTTTATTCATGTCCTTATTTCATATTTACATTCACATAAACAAATACAACAGGGACACTGGTTCAAGAGTCCTCCACATCAATCTTTAGTTTCCATAGAAATTAAATAAGATGTGTTCACGGCATATTTTGGAAATGTCTTGTCACCTTCTCGAGTCCTTCATTGTCAATGTCTTTGAACAATGTTTCATTTGTGTCATGACATCAGTTTAATGTAGGAGGAGTGAGTGAGTTTAGTTTTACGCCGCACTCAGCAATATTCCAGCTATATGGCAGCGATCTGTAAATAATCGAGTCTGGACCAGACAATCCAGTGATCAACAGCATGAGCATCGATTTGCACAATTGGGAACCGATGACGTGTCAACCATGTCAGCGAGCCTGACCACCAGATCCCGTTAGTCGTCTCTTACGACAAGTAATGTAGGAGGAAAACCAGAAGTGATACAGGGCCTAGATTTTCGAAGCTCTCTTAGTGCTAAGATAGTCGTAAGTGCCATACATTAACATTAACCTACGACTATCTTAGTGCTAAGAGAGCTTCGAAAATCTAGGCCCAGGTCTTACATTTAACTGAAACCCAACAAAGCACAGGTGTGTTGCTTACAACCTACAATCATCATCGGAATTAATCTGGAGTTTGAACACGATCATTGGACTAAGGGACGCAACTATGAAAGAGTTGCAGCTTTAAATTGGCCACCTGCGTAAGAACTGTTAAAAGTTGTCAAGAATGTCTGATGCTCCTGCATCTTGTTTGGGTATCATGTAGACTGAGATTGGGCCAGTTTAAACCTGAACAACAATGCCTGTACATCTGAACATATACCAGTATATTCTCTCACAGACATAGTTTTACTGGCAATAATTGTGGTTTGTACATTGTAAACATTCATAACAGGTTTGTGTCTGCATAATTCATTCTTTTTCAAACTCAAAAACATTTACCAAGTATTTCATTTGACTGCCTTGTAAATAACAAATAGGTAAAGTCTGTGCCTATGGTAGTCATGGTATTTGTCTAAGCCAGGACTAACAAAATTTCAATTCATGACAGCCTGTAAGTAATCGAGTGTGGACTGACTGACTGGCTGAGTTTGGTGTTAACGCCGCTTTTAGCAATATTCCAGCAACATCACGGCGGGGGACACCAGAAATGGGCTTCACACATTGTACCCAAGTGGGGATTCGAACCCAGGTCTTCGGCGTGACGAGCCAACGCTTTAACCACTAGGCTACCCCACCACCCCTCGAGTGTGGACTAGACAAATGCAAGTTGTAACATGACTGCTCCTTGTTTTCAGTCTATGATGTTTGATCTTCTCTGCATGAACCCACAGGCTTGTCTTGGTATTACAATGTAACCATGGTAACAGGAGCATCAGAGAAGCGACTTGGTCATGTAAGGGCCTTCCAGCTCATAGCCAATCTTTCGGTAATAGTTCCTCGTACCTACACCTGTGGAAAGCATTTGATAATCTTCAGTTTCTTTGATAGGATTAATTCAGGTTTCATCATTGTACTAGTTTCTTCCGAAAGCAAGCAACAACTTCAGTTAGTGCAAACACAGAATGAGCGAGTGAGTGGGTATGGTTTTACACTGCTTTTAACAATATTCCAGCCATATCATGAAACACTGAAATTAGGTACCACACGTTGTACCTACATGGGCAATCAAACCCAGGTTTTCAACATGACAACTAATACAACAATGGGGCTACTCCACCACCCCATGCCAAATGAAAATCTAAACCTGTTGGATTATTTTTATCTCGGCCTTGATAAAATTCTACTTCGCACTCTGAAGTTGTTATATTCTATTTTGTTGTTTTTGTCATCATTATTGATACTAAAAAGGTTTGTTTTCTGTTTTCATTATCCGTAAAGGCACAAACATAACCTGAGCATGTCTTATCCATAACATAAGCAGACTTGAGTGAGAACTGCCTGGTTTACAGACCTGAGATGACGGCAATCTTGTGGGAGCCATGTTCATCGCGAGCAATCCTCTCTGCTTCTTCCATCAACAGCATGCCAAACCCCTATAGCAGTAGAGCAATTTTGTACATATAAATATACAAAATATGCTTAGAAATTATAGGAGAGGGGGAAGGGGGTCCACTGATTTTGTACATGACATGCAGGGGTGGTTCACTTACTTTGTACATAATGTTTAGGGGGGTCATTCACATTGCAAATGCTTCTCCATAAAAATCATCATCACCACCACCATCAACTCCCACAAGCAATAGGGAGCTGCTGACCTTGTCTTACCCAGAACCCTACAGGGTCTTCACAGGAAGTACACATGTTACTGACCTGACCACCGAAACCAATCAACTCGCCTCCCACAAGCAATAGGGAGCTGCTGACCTAGTCTTACCCAGAACCCTACAGGGTCTTCACAGGAAGTACACACGTTACTGACCTGACCACCAAAACCAATCAACTCGCCTCCCACAAGCAATAGGGAGCTGCTGACCTAGTCTTACCCTGGACCCTACAGGGTCTTCACAGGAAGTACACGCATTACTGACCTGACCACCAAAACCAATCAACTCGCCTCCCACAAGCAATAGGGAGCTGCTGACCTAGTCTTACCCAGAACCCTACAGGGTCTTCACAGGAAGTACACACGTTACTGACCTGATGCTGGAACTTGGTTGGATCCCGGGCGTTGACTGGCACCACGCTGCCATACACATGCAGCTCTCGCACAATGGAGCAACCACCCTTCAGTTCTGCACGAAACGTTTCCTCAGAACACTTGCGCAGCCGAAGTAAGCCAATCAAGATATCCTGTTCCGGGTCCTCGTATGACAGGAATGTCTCCCAGCCTCCGTTAGCAACATAGTCTCTGCGTATCAGCTCCGCCTGACAACCAAGATTTGACAAGATATAATGAAGATTGGCAGTACCAGGGAATCTGATTCATGTTATTCAAATTCAAACTCAGATTTTGTGTATAAACCAATGTCTCAATTTCACAAAACAACTGCAAAGTCTAGACCTTGGTGGCCCAACAATTTTGTTTATTTCAAACACTGCCTCTACACAAAGCTTATTCTGACTCACCTCGTACGGCTTCACTTTGTGGTGTATTTCCTGTATGCCCACTTCCCGTGTACGCACATCCCGACACATTCTAAGATGCTTAGCGCTTAGAACAATCGAACAAAAAATACATTATCAGACAATAAAGGTATAGTCTTTTGATGACGTAACAATTGAATGATGTTATCCCGTCACTGCGCCATTCTAGTGTGCCCCCTCGTAATCGAACCATTTTACATTACGTCACAATGTAAGCAACGTCACGATGCATGTCAGTTGTCATCGCCGCATAGCTTCCTACAGTAAACTACCGCGCTGCATCCCGCTTCTTGGTTTGCAGTTGCTTTACTCACCTAACATCACTGGTGGAAACATTACGTTTATGTTTTCTGACGTTTTAAATGTCTCAATTCGACTCGCAAGTTTTCAGCAACACGGTAACGTTCGTAATGTTTACATTCCCACAATGCAATCGTGGAATGTCGCTAGACTACTCAGCTTCGTCTGGATGTACTGATCTAAACATACGCTGGTAGTAGAAATGCGACGCTCACATGGTTTACGTTAATCACAGATGTAATTAAAATACTTTATAGAAGATATTTAATCCAACGTAAACCGCCATGAAACTGTTTATCATTTGTTTTTCTGGTAACGCTCGCCTTAACGTAGGGGCAGACACATCAATAGAACAGCCGCCAGTTAGCCCTGTGCGAGGATTCTTAATTTAGGTCACCGACACACCGCATTTGTTTTCTGCCTTAAATTAATCGTAATTATCCTTAGAAAGAGTTAAATTTGGCATCTTAGAAAGAATATAGTTCGCTTACCACCATATATAGTGTAATAAAACACACTTTTCTCCTGAACTATTATGACGTTAAAGCACTCGGACGCAAGCGTCCTCGTCCTTTAACTATAATAGTTCAGGGCAAAAGTGTGTTTTATTACACTATACATGGTGGTAGAGCGAACTGTATTTCTTAAATCCTATCATGGTTCCTGCAGGATTCTTATCACTTCATTTACCATACTTAACCCATACCATTTTTCAGTGAGTGAGTGAGTATTGTTTTACGCCACATTACCACATGAGGAATTGGCTTCAGACACATGTTTAGGAATCAAAACTGTGATGAGCAAGCATGTTTACCACATCATTCTACAGCTCAACATAGATTCAGATGTCCCAAGTTCAAGGGTATTCACTATTTTCTCCATTATTATTACATATACAGAGAAGCCTCCAAACCTCTGCACTCTGTACACTCTTGTCCAGGGTGGCACCAGGGCCAGGATCCTGGCAATCAGGTCGATAAGTACACTGGGGGGATAACTCTTGTATCGACCTGTCTTCCACAACTCATACAGACCTGTAAAAAATGCATATTTCAGTTTTCTCACAACATTCAACCTTATCAGCTCTTTATGTTGTCCTCATCAGTCACATAATTCTCAAATCTGTTGTAAACACTAACTTATGGTACCTATTTGTCATATCTCTAATCTGTTTCACATATTTGACATCGAATTATGGTACTGGAATTCTATTTGTCATATCACCAGAAATACAATGTACGAACATCTGGACCATGGAAAATATCCAGATACTATGGATGCAAAACAATCAGTGTCCCAATACAATGCTTTTATTCCCTATGTTGATATTCTGTATTGTAATGAATCCTTTGTATTACAATTAGAGGTTGTATATCAATTGATTGTATTGCTTGTACTGGGATAAAATATTGATCATATGGTCATATATCATAATTTTTTTCATATCCTGACTCATGATCTTTTGCTTATCTCCCTTTCCCTTGCGAATGGTAGTGGAACACTTGAATCCCTTGAAGTTCCCGAAGCAGACGTAAAAATACACTCATCCACGAGTTACCTCCCTTTGCCCTTTTCCCCGCAAACAGTCATGTGACCAGCCTTACTTGTCACTCTCTCCCTTTTCGCCCAAGTGGATGGCTGGGCGAGCACTGGAGTCCCATATACAGCATTATATCCTTTTTTATTTAGGTCCTAAATTACGCTGTGTAGGGATTTGGATATAACTATATTGTATTTTATGTAAAGATTTTGTAAAAATTATTTGTATTTGTGTCATAATTTCATCGTGATGTAACTTGTTTACATTTATGAAATCTTGCAGTGTTTGCACGAACAGGTTATCCGTGGCTGATCCACAACCCCAATGCCTTTCGTGCATCAAACCATGTTCTTCCAGCTTGCGCTGTACTTATTGTAATGATTTATCAAATCTACAATTTAATCAATATTTGTCTTATATCTATAGACGTGCCATGGATCGGGTGAGGAAATCATCTCAAGTCACGGCTGATAAAACAGGAGATCAGCCTGCAAACCGTATGTTGCTTGCTACTGCTGAAGTTCATAGTACTGGTGCTATGTTCAATACATTGCAGGGGCAGTCTGCTGGTACGGGGCCAAGAAGAGATTGGCTACAACGCAGTTGACTCCGACTCGTCGCAGAAGAAAGCATCTGTTACCAGATCGGAGGGTAAATCGACGTGGGCTAGTAAGTCAACGCATCAGAAATCCTTCAACGAAGAGATATTACCTCCACATGAAGTAGATGTTTTTGATGATCCACCATTACTTCCACCCATAGTACCTACAAGTTCAGCGACTCAATCGACTTTTACGACTACTAGATCGCCTCCTGCAATGGTCACAGCAGGCCAGCTGTTTGACGAACTACCTTTTACTTCTCAACGCAGTGAAGTCGAGGCACACAACTCATCAGCGTTCGCGAACGCTTCTTCTACACCGCAGCAGCTTCAACCAACGCAGAACTTTAATCCGGGTGATTTATGAGACAATTCACCAACCAGATGATGGCCATGATGGAACGTAGGTTTGAGGAAGAAGCGAAGGCTCGGCGAAGCCTCTCATCTACCGACATCGTACGCAAACATACGGACCTGCGCGAACCTACTCCTCATAGAACTACGTCTCAAGACAACCTTTGCGAACGTACACCTTTGCGAAGGTCTCCACAGTCGGACGACTCTGTCATCTTGGAGGAGGATAGAAGAGATCAGATGCCTAGTCACCGTTCTACATCTGCGAACCCTCAATGTTCGAGAACATCAAAGGATCCATCTCCTACACCTAGCCGCTCTAGATAGAGATCTCATATCTCTCACAGATGTTCACGAAGTCACTCATAACGAGACAGAGGTTCGCAAAGAGAAGGCTCACATCACAGAGGTTCGCAAAGAGAAGGCTCACATCACAGAGGTTCGCAAAGAGAAGGCTCACATCACAGAGGTTCGCGAAGAGAAGGCTCACATCACAGAGGTTCGCAAAGGGATACATCTAGTGACAGACGTTCGCAAAGAGAAGGTTCACATCACAGAAGTTCGCAAAGGGATACATCTAGTGACAGACGTTTGCAAAGAGAAGGCTCACATCACAGAGGTTCGCGAAGAGAAGGCTCACATCACAGAGGTTCGCGAAGAGAAGGCTCACATCACAGAGGTTCGCAAAGAGAAGGCTCACATCCCAGAGGTTCGCAAAGAGAAGGCTCACATCACAGAGGTTCGTGAAGAGAAGGCTCACATCACAGAGGTTCGCAAAGGGATACATCTAGTGACAGACGTTCGCAAAGAGAAGGCTCACATCACAGAAGTTCACAAAGGGATACATCTAGTGACAGAGGTTCGCAAAGAGAAGGCTCACATCACAGAGGTTCGCGAAGAGAAGGCTCACATCACAGAGGTTCGCGAAGAGAAGGCTCACATCACAGAGGTTCGCAAAGAGAAGGCTCACATCACAGAGGTTCGCGAAGAGAAGGCTCACATCACAGAGGTTCGCGAAGAGAAGGCTCACATCACAGAGGTTCGCAAAGGGATACATCTAGTGACAGACGTTCGCAAAGAGAAGGCTCACATCACAGAAGTTCGCAAAGGGATACATCTAGTGACAGACGTTCGCAAAGAGAAAGCTCACATCACAGAGGTTCGCGAAGAGATGAATCTACAGAGGTTCGCAAAGAGAGGACTCTCAAGATAGACGTTCGCGTAGGGAGGAATCTTCAGACAGAGGTTCGCGAAAGGATGATGAAGGTTTGAGAAGGGATACAGATTCGCAGATGGATGATACGCAGAGGCCTAGCTCTAATAATCAGGAGATACTGGATGAGCAAGCAGACTTCGTCTTCCCAGATGCAGAGGTTACAGCTTGGATTGCCAACGGGTTGAACTTGGAGTCTCCTTCTAAGGATAAAGATGAAGTCTACACTTATATGATGCGTACCCTCTAACCTACGCACAGCTTTCGCGAAAGCATCCAAGTACCAGAGTCAGCATCTGCCATCATTTAATGTGAAGTGATTCCCCTTACATCATATGGATCCATTTATAAAGGCGCCTGAATGGGATGATAACATGAAGTTAGTCAACGACTCCAGGAACAAGATGTATAAAGTGGAAGATAAAAAATTATCTCAACTTGATACTGCTACAAGGAGATCCTTCTTCAGGTTGGCCAGGTCCAGAGCTATCAATGAAGCATTGATCAATAAATCCCAAGTTCAGAAGAGGACAGAATGATATATTCGGCGCTCATAACTCAGAAGAAGGACCAATACTTTTATCGGACCATCTGGCATCTATATCTGCAGGTCTTACTTTGCTACGCAGACAAGAAGCCATCAACTCACTACTTATGAAGGAGGCAGTAGAGATAATAGATCAGCATCATCTCACTCCAAGCTTCTACTCCCCAATTTTTCTAGTACCCAAGAAGAACTCCAAAGAGAAGTTCAGACTGATTTACAACATGCGCAAATTCAACAAAGACTATCCACTGAAACCAGACAGGTTCAGAATGATCCACCTACCTCCACTCAGACTACTCGTCTGTCCAGCAGATTACATGGCCAGCATAGACCTGCAGGATGCGTATCTACACATCCCCATACATCCGGAATCAAGAAAGTATCTACGATTCCTATTCAGAGGGCAGCACTTTCAATGGAACGTCCTACCGTTTGGAATATCTTCGGCTCCGTGGCTATTCACACGAGTAACCAAGCCTATAGTCGCATATATACATCATCGAGGTCTACGCAATGCCTTCTACTTGAACGACGGCATTCAGGTTCACCAAGATGCCAGTCAACTCAGACTACAGCTGAACTTCACGAAGAAGTTGCTCACTCAACTAGGATGGCTGGTGAACCTTATGAAGTCAAAGTTGGAACCAAACCAAGATCTGCAATTTCTGGGGATAAGGTTTATCACAACACAGAATCGTATTGTCATCCCATAAGATCGTTGGGTCAAGATACAAGCCATGATTCCACTAGCAGTCATCTCTCCATTAGCACAACGATCATGGCAAGCTCTACTCGGTCTACTAACCTCGCAAAGGAAGGCTACAACTAAAAGCGCTGCAACGGTCCCTGACAAAACATCTAGACGGCGTCGACCTTATCTTGCTGCCAGAAAACCTCAAGAGGTATCTACTGTGGTGGACACACAGGTCGAACGTTTGCGGAGGGACCTATTTACAAGAGCCGGCCTTCAACACACATCTCTACGTAGACGCTTCGATACAAGGCTGGGGTGCGCCATCTCAACAATCAAGTTGCATCAGGGAGGTGGTCCAAAATAGAACAGCATCTTCACATCAATCTGCTGGAGATGAAAGCCGTGATCAACTTTTACAACTATGGTCAAGCTCGTTGAGCAACAACATGCTGATGGTCCACACGGACAACTCTACAGTGGCATACTCCATAAATCGGCATGGATCCACAAGGTCTCCAAGCCTGCTACAGCTCACATTCCAGTTGTTCCACATCACAGAGGAAGCAAACATCTGGATAAAGGCGTGTCACATACCCGGAGCCAAGAACGTACTTGCAGACGCTCTCTCCCGACCACTGCTACCGTCACCTATGGAATGGATGCTCCATCCAGAAGCGTTCCGGCTCATCATAAGGGAAATAGGATCCCCTTGCATAGACCTGTTTGCCACGAGGTTCAACAAGCAACTACAGACGTTTGTCTCACCAGTTCCAGATCCTCAAGCCTGGGCAACAGATGCACTGAGCATATCTTGGGAAGGACTAAACACTTACGCATTTCCACCCCGAAGGTACTACCGAGGGTACTGTTGAACATCAAACAGACACAGGCGCTACATCTGACTTTGGTCGCGCCATACTGGCCAGCGAGAGTATGGTTCCTAGACCTAATGGAAGATCTAGGAAGTCCAACTATCAAGTTACCAGATTGGCCGAACCTACTCATACCTACCTGTATGATGACAAGTGGCTGAAGTTTGAGACTTATGCAAGGTGGAATGGCTTCATTGCGAGGAAAGCTACTCATCCTCAAGTGACGTAATACCTGTGTCATCTTAGACAGATTAGATATCTGAAAGGTTCGACATTATCTACATACCTCGCTGCCATCAGTACAGTGATTACCATGAAAACAGGCATCAAGTTGACGAAAGTACCAGAATTACTTGCTCTGCTGAGATCTTTTAAACTGGAGGACCAGCAAAAGAAGTTCAGAGCTCCAGCCTGGGATCTGAATGTAATTCTACGTCATCTTACGAGTGATGCCTACGAACCTCTAGATCAGACTACCTTCGAGTTGCTGACACAGAAGACTGTTCCTGCTTGTGCTAGCCACGGCAGCTCAAATATCAGAGATACATGCGCTGGACTTTGGTCGAACCAGATTCGACACAGGGCAACATTCTGCAGTTTATCTAGGACTTAGATGGGACTTCATTGCCAAGAACCAACTACCTGGTTCTATACTTATCCTGACTCATGAGGTCAAGCCCTCCCAACCTCCCCGCTGGAAACACTTAGGATTTGACAGCAGATCCAAGTGCATGGGCAGAAAATCAGGAGAGATTGACAAGTAAGGCTGGTCACATGACTGTTTGCACGGGAAAGGGCAAAAGGGAGGTAACTCGTGGGTGAGTGTATGTTTACGTCTGCTTCGGGAACTTCAAGGGATTCAAGTGTTCCACTACCATTCGCAAGGAAAAGGGAGATAAGCAAAAGATCATGAATCAGGATGAGTATAAAAATATCAATTTTACTTGAAAAATTACATTATTGATGCTGGGATTACGCACTTGCTACACTACTTCTGAGCCTAGATTTTCAAAGCTCTCTTAGTGCTAAACTAGTTATAAGTTAATGTTAATGTATGGCACTTACAACTATCTATGCGCTCAGACAGCTTTAAAAATCTAGGCCCAAGACCACAAAACATCATACCGTTTCTACTTACTGGGCAGCCAATTACTCAACTATTACCCTCCCTATGCATCAAAACACTATCTGGCCATTTGCTTGATAATGTTGTTAGTGGCTACACCGAAACGTCGCTGATACTGATAATATAGGTTAAGTATATTTACTTGCTGACAAACAACGTTATTTCAACTAGCTTTTGTAGAATTTCAGTTGATGGCAAAGTGACATCCTGGCAATGGCATGTTGGTGTGGCAAGAGACAAAATATGTGACCGTTACTGTCTCACCTGTGCCTCGGATAACAAGGGTTGGGTAAATCTTCAAACCATCAGGGCGAAATGCTGGATTTTCAAAGAATTCCTGAAACAGCATAAAATCCAGAACAAGAATTATCACTGTTGCTGACGCTATGGTCATATTGGTTTTCCTAATTTAACAACTAATTTTACAACTTCTTTTTATTATATTTTTAGCAGCATTTAGAAGCAGTAAGAAAGAGTAACAAGCTTAACGTCATCAGTAAATCCTGTCTTCATTATTACCAGCAGTGTTGTCATTGTTTCTGGGTTTGTTCATAATAACCTGATATGTGGATTAACACATATGTGAGACTTCCCAGCTCAGCCCTGATGTCTGGCTGGAGTGAGTTTAGTTTTACGCCACTTTTAGCAATTTTCCAGCAATATCACGGCAGGGGGACAACAGAAATGGGCTTCACATATTGTACCCATGTGGGGAATCGAAACCAGGTTTTCGGCATGTTGAACAAACTCTTTAACCACTAGGCTTCCCCATCGCCCTGTCTGGCTGGAGTTTTTCCCTATTTTTAACACTGCGCTCATGACTAATTTCTTTCAGAGACAAACCCTACATTATTGTGTCAACTCACAATGAACTGTTCAATGTCTCTCTCCCATCCCACATTGGGTAGATCAGGCATCATATGAACAACCACTTTAAACCCAGCATCCTTCGACATCTGGAACGACTCACACACAGCCCGCACTGTGTGACCTCTGTACAAGGAAAATTATAACAAGATCTATTCAGCTCGGAAGATTGTAATTTCAAGTACAACCACTGAACAATAACTGCAGTTATAATGACACAAAAACTCAAATAATAACAAAGTATATCACTCTACTTTTTATAGGGATATTGTCATCTTTCATACAACTCATAATATGTCAAGTGTACATCCAAATATATAGAGAATCTCACCCAAGTGTCTTCTGATATCAAATATATCAACACGAGTTGATTAAAGTTACAGATATCGAGCCTTGCCGAGGATATTTTACTTTAATCAACAAGTGTTGACATATTTGATATAAGAAGACACAAGGGTGAGATTTTATTTATCATCCAAAATCATTCTTCATCAGTAATCAGTAAAATTTATCTGAACACAAAACTGCCATTAGGCTCCTTGAGCAGTGATCCCAGTGAGGTCATAGCATTGCGGTGTCATCAACTTTGTGACATCACAGCATTGTCATCTGTGTTCTTAGTGATGTCATAGCATTGTGAGGTCATTAACTGACAATGTAATAGCATTCTGACAGTTCAATTGTTGCCATATCTACAACATAGATATCACTTGTAGACATCGCTTGATCTCACACAAGCAATATCTACTGTGGGAGTCAGTTTTGGATGATAAAATGAAAGATAAGCGAGTCAAATGGTACACTCAGCATCATTATTGAGAGATCATGCATGTAATTAAAGGTAAAAGAAATAGAAACTGTCACAATTTCTACTTGTAGGAATGCAATTCAGTTGCATCTGGAATGAACCATTTTATACCCACTTTGACACTGGCTTGTCATGGAAGGCACAAGCATTGGCTTAACCACTGTTTGCCTTCAAGAATGAGGTTGGGTAGCTTTTTCTCTTTCAGTCTTGTCATTTTCAATGTTTTAATTGTCATTTTCCATCTTTCCAAGCAATCCCCTCACCTGTTGGTATCTCTGGCCACATCTTCATACACACTCTGCACGCCGCCGATCTCCAGCCTGGTACACCCGTACTTTAACATATCACTGTAACACAGCATATAAACTTGTCATGACAAACCTTTCTGTGGGTACCATGGTCAGTATAGCCAGGGTCATGTTCTACAGACAATCTTAGTTTTCCTCTTATGACAAGCAGTAGAATCAAGGGTCCAGTTCCACAAACTGATTATAGCCATACAGTTGTTGTAAACCTAAGCTAAAGTATGGCAGTTATGATCACTTTAGTGCCTTAGGTCCAATACCATTAAGTCAAATATTTTCTGTTAATAGTAAAAAAACACATATATTTTTCCAATGTGCTCTGTAATTTAATAGATTGTTGGGTACAGCTGGGAAAAATTTGCCTGTTTTCAAAATACTTTTCCCCCCTCCACATCTTTTAAAGAATATGGATGTTGCTAAATTTGATCATTTGGTCAGGCCTGGTGACTTTCTGATCTGATGACAAGTCTCACCTTAAGTGCTTCTTAAGGCAATAATCAGGTCTCGTTTCAATAGTGATTCCGATACATTTTGTTTTGCTCTTCTCTGAGTATCTGCAAAAAACAAGAGACTCAATTTGAAACAATTTCGCAGTGAAAAACACTGAAGTCAATGTGATGCATCATTCCTTTCATCAAAATGTGAAAGGGAGATAACTCTGACAAGATAGAGAAACATGGAAACCATACAAATACAAAGTTACTCGTACATCATTACACAATGAATGTTTGAAACCATTACTCACAGAAATATGGATGAGATCTATATAGTCAGATGCCAACAAATATTTGTGCTATGAACACTTTGTGGACTGGTGAGCAGGAAAACAAACTCTTCTTTTAACTTACTTGACAGATTCATCCACGGAACTACTTGTGTGGCCTGACAACGCATCATGGAGATTTCTGATAAAGTAGTCCCGGTATTCTTCGGACAGACACATAAAAGTCCCGCCCATCACGATAAACTCCACCTTGTCTACGCTGTGTCCAAGCTGCTTCAGCTATATATAGGACAAACAGCTATATATAAAACAATCAGTTATATATATAGAACAATCAGTTAGTCATGTCAGACTCAAGCAACTATCCTGCAATATTTTGCTTCACTGTAAAAATTCAGTGAAATGATGGCAGTAAGTAAAGAATCGTGTTTGTTTGTTTGTTTGTCGAATCAAAGCAGACTGGGACCCTGGGGATCTATTCTACTCCAGACTCCCCATGGGAACACTGCAAAATTATGTTTGTTTAATGCTATGCTAAGCTTTCAGGGTCTGTCTATAAATAATCAAGTCTTGACCAAACAATCCAGTGATTGACATTATGAACAGGGATCCCTCACCTTCAGGGTACAACAACATGCTTGTTGGTGACAACAGTAACCTGGAATCCCTAGAGATCCAAGACCTTGTTCTAAAATGGTGGACCCATCTTGTAATGATGCAAAGCAAAGTTTCCAGTCCTAGTACATGCTTCAACAGCTACAGTAGCAACTGCTACCTCTGCCCTACAACTCCAACACCTAGCTTACCTGACTGCCGCAGTCAGCAATATTACACCTATATGGCGGTGGTCTGTAAATAATCCAGTCTGGACCAGACAATCCAGTGATCAACAGCATGAGCATCGATCTACGCAATTGGAATACAATGACATGTGTCAACTGAGCCTAACCACCCGCCTCTTACGACAAGACAAAACTTGAAAATTTTAACAATAAATTGTATATTCATAATACTTATCCTATTCTACTGAATCATCCGAGAATGGGAGCGGTGGGGAGTGTTCGGGCAAGGGACTCAGGGAGGCCAGAAACTTAAGTCAACTTTGCTTAACAGCATGTTTCCACTTCATGGTCAACATTTGGAAGAGAGAGTACAATACGTAGGGTAGGATAAGTTTTAGGAAACGATATTCATACTACATCAGTCGAGATACATCATAGCTCACCTGCTCCACTCGATGACGGGTCTGTAGATAAGGGTTATATCTTGCTCGTATTGCTCTCATGGACGTTGGCTGAAACAACAGTCAAAATGAAGCTGATCATCTATTCAGCAACAGGAACATAACAATATGTGATGCATTTTAACCTACTGCTGTAGTTTTCAAGTCAGAAAAATTCCAGTCACATCATGGCAATTGTAAATTATTAAATCGGAAACCAGAAAATACGGTGTTCAATATTATGAGTTATCAGGGAACAATGACATGGAGCCACAGGAATTAAAGCATAGGCTGATATGGACCTATTCTAACCTGGTTCCTCACAGGGAGACAAGTATAGGCTGATATGGACCTATTCTAACCTGGTTCCTCACAGGGAGACAAGTAAAGGCTGATATGGACCTATTCTAACCTGGTTCCTCACAGGGAGACAAGTATAGGCTGATATGGACCTATTCTCACCTGGCTACTCACAGAGAGACAAGTATAGGCTGATATGGACCTATTCTAACCTGGCTACTCACAGAGAGACAAGTATAGGCTGATATGGACCTATTCTAACCTGGTTCCTCACAGGGAGACAAGTATAGGCTGATATGGACCTATTCTAACCTGGTTCCTCACAGGGAGACAAGTATAGGCTGATATGGACCTATTCTAACCTGGTTCCTCACAGGGAGACAAGTATAGGCTGATATGGACCTATTCTAACCTGGTTCCTCACAGGAGACAAGTATAGGCTGATATGGACCTATTCTAACCTGGTTCCTCACAGGGGAGACAAGTATAGGCTGATATGGACCTATTCTAACCTGGTTCCTCACAGGGAGACAAGTATAGGCTGATATGGACCTATTCTAACCTGGTTCCTCACAGGGAGACAAGTATAGGCTGATATGGACCTATTCTCACCTGGTTCCTCACAGGGAGACAAGTATAGGCTGATATGGACCTATTCTAACATGGTTCCTCACAGGGAGACAAGTATAGGCTGATATGGACCTATTCTCACCTGGTTCCTCACAGGGAGACAAGCATAGGCTGATATGGACCTATTCTAACCTGGGTCCTCACAGGGAGACAAGTATAGGCTGATATGGACCTATTCTAACCTGGTTCCTCACAGGGAGACAAGTATAGGCTGATATGGACCTATTCTAACCTGGTTCCTCACAGGGAGACAAGTATAGGCTGATATGGACCTATTCTCTAACCTGGTTCCTCACAGGGAGACAAGTATAGGCTGATATGGACCTATTCTAACCTGGTTCCTCACAGGGAGACAAGTATAGGCTGATATGGACCTATTCTAACCTGGTTTCACAGGGGAGACACAGGGAGACAAGTGGTTCCTCACAGACAAGTATAGGCTGATATGGACCTATTCTAACCTGGTTCCTCACAGGGAGACAAGTATAGGCTGATATGGACCTATTCTAACATGGTACCTCACAGGGGAGACACAGGGAGACCAAGTATAGGTTCCTGATATAGGCTGACCTATTCTAACCTGGTTCCTCACAGGGAGACAAGTATAGGCTGATATGGACCTATTCTAACCTGGTTCCTCACAGGGAGACAAGTATAGGCTGATATGGACCTATTCTAACCTGGTTCCTCACAGGAGAGACAAGTATAGGCTGATATGGACCTATTCTCACCTGGTTCCTCACAGGGAGACAAGTATAGGCTGATATGGACCTATTCTAACCTGGTTCCTCACAGGGAGACAAGTATAGGCTGATATGGACCTATTTTAACCTGGTTCCTCACAGGGAGACAAGTATAGGCTGATATGGACCTATTCTAACCTGGTTCCTCACAGGGAGACAAGTATAGGCTGATATGGACCTATTCTAACCTGGTTCCTCACAGGGATATGGACAAGTATATGGCTGATACAAGTATAGGCTGATATTGACCTATTCTAACCTGGTTCTTCACAGGGAAACAAGTATAGGCTGATATGGACCTATTCTAACCTGGTTCCTCACAGGGAGACAAGTATAGGCTGATATGGACCTATTCTAACCTGGTTCCTCACAGGGAGACAAGTATAGGCTGATATGGACCTATTCTAACCTGGTTCCTCACAAGGAGACAAGTATAGGCTGATATGGACCTATTCTAACATGGTTCCTCACAGAGAGACAAGTATAGGCTGATATGGACCTATTCTAACCTGGTTCGTCACAGGGAGACAAGTATAGGCTGATATGGACCTGTTCTAACCTGGTTCCTCACAGGGAGACAAGTATAGGCTGATATGGACCTATTCTCACCTAGGTCCTCACAGGGAGACAAGTATAGGCTGATATGGACCTATTCTAACCTGGTTCCTCACAGGGAGACAAGTATAGGCTGATATGGACCTATTTTAACCTGGTTCCTCACAGGGAGACAAGTATAGGCTGATATGGACCTATTCTAACCTGGTTCCTCACAGGGAGACAAGTATAGGCTGATATGGACCTATTCTCACCTGGCTACTCACAGAGAGACAAGTATAGGCTGATATGGACCTATTCTAACATGGTTCCTCACAGGGAGACAAGTATAGGCTGATATTGACCTATTCTAACCTGGTTCTTCACAGGGAAACAAGTATAGGCTGATATGGACCTATTCTAACCTGGTTCCTCACAGGGAGACAAGTATAGGCTGATATGGACCTATTCTAACCTGGTTCCTCACAGGGAGACAAGTATAGGCTGATATGGACCTATTCTAACCTGGTTCCTCACAAGGAGACAAGTATAGGCTGATATGGACCTATTCTAACATGGTTCCTCACAGAGAGACAAGTATAGGCTGATATGGACCTATTCTGACCTGGATCCTCACAGGGAGACAAATATAGGCTGATATGGACCTATTCTAACCTGGTTCCTCACAGGGAGACAAGTATAGGCTGATATGGACCTGTTCTAACCTGGTTCCTCACAGGGAGACAAGTATAGGCTGATATGGACCTATTCTAACCTGGGTCAATGGTAACCCATCCTCGATAATCTCCAGGGTTTACGTTACGATCACTCTCCACTATACCCTGGATGCATCCATGGCTTGGCCTGATGATTTTATTACCTCCCTTTGCTGGCTTTCTATCCAGTCAGGTGTCTACGCTGGGAAGTTGAGCGTACCAATCACAACTCACTTTCGCTTTTTAAATCATCTAACTGATTGAACTTGGCAACATAATAAAATATTGTTGCAGAGGTACTCTGAAAGAGGTAGAAGGAGTTCTTGCATATATTTTTTTAAGATTTCACACGTGTCAATTTGTCTGTATGTTCCCCCCAACCCCCAACCCCCAATCTGAGTCGCACTGCGAACAAACTTTCGCGGCTGCAACCACTATCTTTGTTGACACTGGCAAGCTCGGATGTAACGGCGGCTTAGCTGATTGGCTACTGTGAGAATGCGGAGCCAGCAAAGGGAGGTAATATAATTATCCGACCAACCGTGGATGCATCCAGGGTATAGTGGAGAGTGATCGTAACGTATACCCTGGAGATTATCGAGGATGATGGTAACCCTGACAGATCTCACCTCATATCCTGTGTATGACTGTGTCGAGTATTCAAAGTCTGAGTCTGGCCCACCTGGACAATACCTGAAAAAAACATCACACACTGTCCTTCATATAGGATCTAAACTCACCATAATAAACACCCTGCTCCTGTAAGTGCTCCCACATAATATATAAACAAAATACATGTCTTTTTTTTTTTCTTGAAAAAATACAACAGGCAGATCCATAAAACAAGAAATAAAATTGGTCTGGCCTTAGGTATAAACAAAAATGTGCACTAGGGGTCCAAATCATCATCATCATATATACATTTGTATAGCGCCGATATCCAGCTCCGCTCAGCTGCTCAAAGGCGCTTTGTTTTTCCCTCGTTCACTGGATGTCAATCTCAACGGCACATCGTATTGTCAATCTCAACTCCCTGGGGAGCATACAAACTCTTGCAGCCACTAAGGCGCACCAAGTTATTGTGGCATTCCCATCCTTACGAGGTACCCATTCACAGCTGGGTGCACTGGGACACATAGTCACAGTACTTTGTCCAAGTTCACTGCACGTTGCTGTACCCGCAACTGGGTGTTTGCACGTATTCATGTGGCCACCATCTGGTCATATACCTACGGATTCGTGGGTTCTTTTAAGTGCACAGGGTTGTGTACTGTACACTAGGGGTTGTGACAACACTGAAAGAGTCTGCACACAAAGTTGACTCCAAGGTTTTTACACCCGGTCACAGGTGGGCTCGATCCCGTCACCTCAAGCTCGCTGGATCACTAGCCTGGCGCTTTAGCCAGTTCGCCCACCGCGCAATCATACAATGTCCGATGCTCTTGAGCTTTTTAGTTTTAAAAAAAAATCTCAAATTCAACCTGCCTGCTTATATTTTGAATGTGGTTCTTAAAAACTGAAAGATATCAAGTAAAGCAGTTTGGACCTATGTAAATGTTTTGCACTTTGAGACTTACACACAGATGTTCCCTGTCATGGCGATGTGAGGGCAGCGGTGAGGTTTACACATCACAGCAACCACAGCAATCTACAACAGCAACATTCATATCCATCACACAAGCAACAGTGCTGTAATAGAATGTGTCATCATGATGCACAACAAATCTTCATGGAAAGGTTGAGATACCAATATGAAAGCATGACACTTGTACTTTACCATGATGACGTGAAACACAATTACATATTGCAAACTTCATAGATGTTTATTAGAAGGTTTATCAACAGTGTTTTTAAGAGGATGTGCTACTTACACCACTTGCCGTCCTGACTGGCTTTGCCTTCAGTTTAGGCAAAAGAATCTGCAATAACATGGACATGATTGAAAAAGGATAAATTTGTGAATTAAAACATTTTGCAGCCCAAACCCCTGTGTGTGAGTGTTCTGTTTGTGTGCGTATCTGATTTGTGTCTGTGTCTGTCAGGATCTGTGTCTGTGTCTGTCAGGGTCTGGGTCTGTTTCTGTCAGGGTCTGTGTCTGTGTATGGGTTTGTCAGGATCTGGGTCTGTTTCTGTCAGGGTCTGTGTCTGTTTCTGTCAGGGTCTGTGTCTGTGTATGGGTTTGTCAGGATCTGTGACTGTGTCTGTCAGGGTCTGCTTCTGTCTGGGTCTGTGTCTGGGTATGTCAGAATCTGTGTCTGTCTGGGTCTGTGTCTGTGAGGATCTGTGTCTGTCAGGGTCTGCTTCTGTCATGGTCTGTGTCTGTCAGGTTATGTGTCAGTCAGGGTGTGTGTCTGTGTCCATAAGGGTCTGTGTCTGTGTCAGTCATGGTCTGTGTCTGTCAGGGTCTGTGTCTGTCAGGATCTGTGTCTGTTTCTATCAGTGTCTGTGTCAGTCAGGGTCTGTGTCTGTGTCATTCAGGGTCTGTGTCTGTGTCTGTCAGGGTCTGTGTCTGTGTCAGTCAGGGTCTGTGTCTGTGTCTGTCAGGGTCTGTGTCTGTGTCTGTCAGGATCTGTGTCTGTTTCTGTCAGTGTCTGTGTCAGTCAGGGTCTGTGTCTGTCATTCAGGGTCTGTGTCTGTCAGTGTCTGTATCTGTCCGGGTCTGTGTCAGGGTCTGTCAGGGTTTGGGTCACTGTGTATTCACTTTTACTGGGCAGACTTCATGTCGGTTTTAAGTTTTACAGTTTCATCCCCCTAATGCTGAGCGCCATTCATCAAGTACGATGCTTGAATTGTTTTCTGTCAGATGACGTCACCTGGGGACTGAACCACAAGCTTTCGCCTTGGGACTGAACCACAAGCTTTCTTCTCTCCTGGCAGAAACTCATGGACAATTACTCATACTCACACATCTTGTAAGTAAGAACATCTAACACTCCTTATAAAATGGTACCTCACTTCTACAACGAAAATGTAACGTTGTGAACAGTGAAAGATCATATTTGAAACGTATCTGCTAATTCATTTTGATCAAATAACACTTACCTTCTTATGTTCGTGTGGCACTGCAGCGATGATATCCACAAGACGTGGCTGACTTGATAAACCATACTTGCTGGAGATTTGGGTCTTCACTCTGATGAAATATCAACACACAACAGAACATGAGTAAGTGAGTGAGTTTTAGCTTTACATCGCTTTTTTGCAATATTCCAGCAATATCACAGCAGGGGACACAAGAAATGGGCTTCACACATTGTACCCATTGGGGAATCAAACCCAGGTCTTTGACGTGACGAGCCAACATTTTAACCACTACGCTACCCCACAGAGCATGAAGAAAGCCTCAAACATCATAGAGGGGTTCTTATATACAACTCAGGAAGATAAGTGAGCGAGTTTTGTTTTTACGACGCTTTTTACCAATATTCCAGCAATATCACAGCATGGGACACCAGAAATGGGCTTCAAACATTGTACCCATGTGGGTCGGGAAGTTAAGGGTTATTTTAAACTTTTATATCAGTACATTATTGTTTCATTACATCATATCATCTGCACAGTCACATACTTGTTAAGATTGATATCTTTGCCCTCCTGATGAGCTTTGATCAGCTGATTGATAATCTCGGTGACTGTCATCACCATCAGTTCCTCACGGGAAACATTCGGCACTGCAACCATTGCAACAGAAAAATGGTCATTATCATGATTATATTTCCTGTGTCAACCTTAGAGGTGCAAAAACTAAACCAATGTCCACTCGATCCTGTAATACTGATAGATCTGACCCCAGGGACATGGAAATGTTTCACAAAATATAACTTACTCAATTCTAAGAATACCGAGTATTCAACATTTTTTCATGTGACATTAACAAGATTTCAGGATTTATGGGCTGAGCATCGGAGTTTTTCTTCACCCACATGAGTGTTTCCCTTGAGACTTTAACTTCCCATGTATTTCTAAAAGAAAACACAACAAACAATATGTGTATCATTAGAGCCACTGTTTGCAAAGGCAGATTATCCAGATGAATGAAACAGATAACTATTATAATGATATTGCTTAAAATGTTGGGTTTTTTTCTAATATGAGGATAATCACAGCACTGTATATAGACAGTGTGAACAATCAGCTGACGGCCATAAATGATAATGGTCTATATTGTTCACAAGCTAAATAGTCCAGAATGATTAACGACTCATGGAAGCTGCCTTGAGCTATATTAACGCAAGCGAAGGCGGTGTGGTGGAATATCTAAAAATATACCCATTTAGAAAGATGACAACAATGACAACATACCTTCAGTGTCAGCTGCTATAAAATATTTTGCCTTCCTAACCATTGACGGTACTGGCATAAAACCATATTATTTGTCCTTTTGCACCATACAATATTTTATATCAATTAACAATGAAATACTTGCCTTTCTTTCTGTTCTTCACCATGATGACGTTTAGTTTTCTACGTCGCTACACAAGCAACAGGAGATATTACAGCTACCTTGCATGTACACATGTTAAACGACCTTCACCTTAAATCATAACATAAAGCTACACAGATTGGTTTCGAAATTTACGAACTTTTTTGCGCTATAAGGTGCAATTGTATTCGATTAACAAAAATCAAAGATTCAAAAGAACTATTTCTATTTATATTCTATGACTGGCAACGTAAGCATCAATAACGATCGCAAATAAATATGATCGGGCACCTGTTTCTGGATAACCAACTACTTCCGGGTCAAAGGAGACTCTTTTACGTTCGTGACTTCGGACAAATGACTCAACAGCTGGCTAAGATTTGACAGGGGTGACATTTCCGATCGATATGGAACATTTGTAAACACCACATCACCACCATGTATTGTTTACAGTGGTTAATACCTGTGCTCCTCATCCCGAAGCCGCTGAACCCGGCTTTTATCTACAACCATGCAATGTTTATTGTTTTGTATTTGACAAGTTTCTTTCTGGTAAGAAAACCGTGTACGATATGCAGCATCGTGTTCCTGGCAGCGGTGTCGCTCATCTGCTACAACTGTGTCGGCAACTGCATCCTGTGGCGGTGTGCTGACGACGAGTGCGACGGAGCAGAATGTCGGGACTGAATGAAGTGAATTCCAGAGAATATTCCCATGGGAGAATGGATTGTGATGTGAATGACAGGGAGGAAACGTGTTCGAGCTGTGAATCAAGCGTGTACATATACATTAGACAGGGCAAACATTGTTTGTTTCTCTTTTACAGAATTAACTAACTGTGTAAGTGTACATTGGTTAGTTGATCTGATAATGATGGGTGTGTGTTCAACAAATTGCTGGTTTCAACAGTCCAGCCTTATCCCCATGGATAAATCTCAAGTTATCACATTTTGATGTGAAAGTATTCAGATGGTTGAAGTAATTTCTATTTAATGGATGGAAGAGATGACAGCTGTATGGTCGAATGGTCATTATGATTTTCTTTCATAACCAGCATTGTATGGACTGTGCAATACATTATTAATCACAACATTTCTTTCATAACAAACTTCATCACAACTCAGATGTCAAATTCAAGTGAAGAAGCAGCAAGAGTGACTTGTTTAAATGCTTGTACTTACATCCAGATAACTACAATCACAGATGAAACCAAGACCTGAAGAAAGAAGAAAATGAAAATGTTTCAGTGCTATTTTGAGGACAGAATATATTAAAATTATTGAAGATTATATTCTTGTATTTGTTTGTGCTACCAGTGTGTTTGAAACGACAGCATCAGCCTCTGTGTGGATACCAAAGATGAAGAATGCTGCTGATGACAGTTGAATACACAATATGCAAAGTCGAGGTGTAGTTTTTGGATGACTTCATGCAGACAATGTGGCCTTGTTCGATAAAACATCTTAATTGTTTTCAGCCTGATGACTGTATATGACTGCATATCATGTCTGTCCTTCATAGTCGTGAACCCAGGCCATCACTACACACCAAGAATGTATATGAACATTAAATTAAGTGTATGTACAAATGTACCATGTGTTATTACATATGGTAGCTTCATAAAATGACCGTAATGGCATAATATGTACACCAGTTATGTATAACCACTTAATATGTTTAATAAGCAGGTTTCCATTTTTTTTCATGGAACCACAGGATTACTTAATTCTTATAACTGTGAAAGTTTAGCAGGTTGCAAATGTTTGAGACTGTTGAGTAGCTGAGAACATTTGGGAAGGTAGAGAGTTATCTTGTGATGTACATAATGTGAGATTGACTCAACTTCCAAAAATGCTTATCCTGTATATTTGTGTCCTTGTCTGTTGAGAATGTTTGACAGATTTCAGAGAGTGCCTACTATGCTTTCTTTGACATTTGTAAAATGGCAGAGTTGCATCCCTTAGGCATGCAAGGATCCTATGATTTCTGATTCAAGGTTTGCCAAGATTAAGATTCTTATTTGTCAGTACCATACCCATACTCATGGGCTTATGATAATATGGTAGACATGTTAAACAAAGATAAAGGCCCAGGCTTTATGCATATTAACCTGAGACTTCACTGAAACTATGTCAAAATTACAGGTAAGCACAACTCACACTTTCATTTCGAAAATGTTTCTCGTTTTGAACATGTTTAAACTCCAAATACAACTCAAACATGACTCTTAAGCATGGTGAATAACTATTTTTATGTATGTAGTAAGTATATTCATGATTTAATGAAACTATAAGGTTACACACAGAGATATTAAGCAGTAATGTAGCCATGATATTGCATCATCCTCAACCAGGTTATATTTCCTTTATGGTGTTCTTTGGGGTGGTGGGGTAGCCCAGTGGTTAAAGCGTTTGCTCGTCACGCCGAAGACCCGGGTTCGAATCCCAACATGGGTACAATGTGTGAAGCCCATTTCTGGTGTCCCCCGCCGTGATGTTGCTGGAATATTGCTAAAAGCAGCGTAAAACCAAACTCAGTCAGTATGGGGTTCTTTATGTGGTAGCACTGGAACCATTTGTTAACCTTCCACACTCTAGCGTGGATAGAGTGTCTGCCTAGAGAGCGGAAGGTTGTGGCATGGTCCCTATCCCCATAATACCAAAAGCCAATATAAGAAGGTACTTGTTATTTTCCTGCCTGGTGCTCAACATGAAGGGGATAGAACTAGAGCTGGTTTGCTCACAGTGAGTGTTCTGCAGGGGTGGAAATAACTTTAAAATTGCTAGTGTACTCCGGTACAGTGGCACATGTAAAATCACTTGCCCTGATAATTTTTCTACTATACCGGCCGTTTTCTTGTTGATGTTTTAAATAAACAACATAATTAACATTGGAATATCAACTGGACACTGGTACAGTGTGATATACAAATTTGCTTGCCCGACAGAAAAAAACACTGGACTCGGGCGTCGGGCAATGGGTTATTTCCACCCCTGGTTCTGACTCTGTCTCAGCACTATGGCATGATGTCTCATTGTGCTAGCACTATAGAGGAAGCATTAGTCAGCTGGTAAATGCAAACACACATACACATGTCACTATATAAGTGAAACCTGTATTCTGGAATGTGACGTTAAACTCCATTTCACCTCTATCACCAAGTCACTGAAATATGATGAACAGTGTAATATTTCACAGTCAAGATATGTGTATATTATGATTTAATGGGTTAGTGTACATATGTAAATTGTACCATGAAAACAACAGACCTTGCAAGGTTAACCAATACAAATGATTTTAATGCTGGATGCTTTAACACCATATAAGGTTGACTTAGTGATGTTTGGACTTAAAGGGCGAGAGAGACTGGTTTGGGCAACCGTGACAGATGCTATCATAAAGTAACTTCTTTGAGTGGCATTTTAGAAGTGAGTGAGTGAGTGAGTTAATATTTATCGTCACATCGGCAATATTTCAGCCATATCGTGACGAGAACATTTTATAATTATATTAAAGATGAATAAAGTTAGAAATTAAAAAACCTGTTGACGAAGAACAGTAAAACAACTAGTGTATCACAGATATCCATTTAAAACTAGCAATTAAATCTAAAATATTGGAACTAGAAATGACAATACAATATAAAAACAGGCTGTAGATTGCTAACTACTGAAGGTAGATCACCATACTAGGGACCATGGGGACTTACAGTACATTTGCTTCCTGCATGGACCCTAGCTGGATTTACACCATCCCTTCAGCCGTCAGCAAGTTTAGACAAATTAGCCATAAGTTAAAAGAACACATATTCTACGATTAAAACTAATGGTAAGTTTAAATTTAGCTTGAATGTTTTGGGATTTTAGAAGTTGGGAAGTACAATATAGAACAAACTTTATGGATAACAACTTCTTTTTATTCGTGAGTGCATGGGTTGCACTCACGAATAAAAAGAAGTTGTTATCCATAAAGTTTGTTCTATATTGTATCATAAAGTAGTTTGATCAGAAAGTTCTGTAGTCATTCCCTGTAATGAAAATCGGCATTAGTACAACAGTTTGTGGATTGTGTTTTTAATTCATTTCTGCGTGTATATTTTGGTAAGAGCAAGGTTCAGCTTGTGAACGTTTGTGAGGTGACAAATGTCATGTTTGTGATAAAAAGTTTTTGTTGTATCCTTGACTGATATGTATCCAGATACGACGATGTCCAGCGGATTGCTATGATATATGCTAACATGTCTAATCATGCAAATTATTGCATAGACTTGTAAAGTTCTACATTTTACAAATGTGGTTTTGTGTTATCAGTTATCTTGTTGCCATGGTTACAGATGAGATGTGACTGGTGGGTTGTTGGTTCATGATGATATTTTGTGGTACAGTGTGACTGTGAGTCATTGGCAGATCCAGGGGTGGGGGAGGGGGTTCAGGGGGTTCAACCCCCCTTTTGAAAATGACTAAAGACCACATTGAAGTTAATGTTTTGCATTGGCAGAGATAATGGGGGTTCAGGGGGTTCGAACGTTATAAGATAATGATTATCACACTGTGTATCAATAGTTTTATGATAAATGGGTGGACCAATCCATTCTGTTAGCTTCATTTAGAGTCTGATTGAAATTAAATTATCCTGATAATAGACATCAAATAAGTAAACTTATGAGAGAGAGAAATTCTAAGTGAAATGAGTGGTTGCAATGGTGAATGGGTCCAGGGTTTTTAGTATTACAGGATGGATAAAATACCCTGGATAAATGAAGATGGATACTGAATTATGAAGTGCTACTTTCTAGAGTATGAAAATTCCTCAAACCTTTGTTAGTTTGACTGATATGTGTACACTTAACATTGTGAATATGGCTTAGTTGGCACTATAGTCCTTCAGTTCATGGAATAGTTCCATGCTCTTTTGTGTGGATTTTACAATAACGATTTATGTATCCATTGGTGACAATGTGTGAATTACACTTTCATTCTGTCTCATAGTACATGGTGAAGCACAGGTCACCATGCTAAATATTGCCCAGGGGTGATGGGGTAGCCTAGTGGTTAAAGGGTTAGCTTGTCACACTGAAGACCTGGGTTCAATTCCCAACATGGGTATAATATGTTAATTTC